CAGCAGTCACCAGCTGATTAGCAACTGCTAGCTACTTACCCTTGTTTTAGATTGTACAAGTGTAGAAAATGTAAATGATATGCTGGTATATAGTTGTCAATACATCCACTGTGGTTAAATAAATGTGCCCTTTTATTTAAAACTAAAACTTTGTCATATCGATAAAGTTTGAACATCCGTGGCTCCGGTGAGGAACCGCCACTACGGCACGCCGCTGGGCTCAAACAAAAAAGGACACATTTGGGATTTACAACAACGCTAAATTCGACAACCGCTAATTATGCAGTTCTGTTGCAACCTTCGTGTTAAAGGCAAATATGAAAATTTTATGTTATTTACTCAACATTTATATCAATCTATTTACGTTGTGTATGATTTCTATCATTCAGGATAATATTAAATACTTTTAGATGAACGTGGTCAGTAATAATAAAGTCACTGGCAATTTGAGGGTCTAAAATACATACATCCACAACAAAATGAATGCCAGTAGCTTCTAACAGTACACTGTAAGTCCTGTATAATTAGACCTGATTGTTTTCACAATTGTCTAATCTTCTTGTTGCATGAAGCGATATTCACCACCCCAAAAAATGAATATTCTGTCATTTACTCACCCTTGACTTATGTCACAACTAGGGGAGAACCTAACCAATAAGCAAGGTAAGCAGCTGCTTATAGGGACCCTGGGAATTTTGGGCCCCGAACAATGTCCAATCTATATTATATCTTATATCTTATGTTGTATCTAATTATATCTTATGTTGTAAAATCTGTCTATAACCATTAGAATTTTACATTACTTCTTTTCTATTTTCTATTTTTATTTGTGTATTTACTGTATTTCATTTTACAATAAGAAGATAAAGATTCCACTTAAAATATATTTCTAGCATGCCTTTTTTTTTTCAAAAAAAAAAAAAGAAAAAAAAATGTCACAAATTTAGAGAGAAAAAAAAATCTATAGAGAAAGAGAGTATTTTGAGTTTCAGTGCTAGGGCGCCATACCCAAAATTGCTTATACCCAGAATTGCTTAGGGCCACCGAATCACTACGTCCACCCCTGTTCACAAGTTCAACACACCGAGTTTTTTGTTTTGTCAAACACTAAAGATATATTGAAGAAAGCTAAAAACCGGTAACTATCGACATCCATAGGGCAAAGGCTAGCTACTACTATAGCCAATGATTGGTTACAGGTTTCTAACATTTCTAACATACTTCAATCTCTTCTGGAACCAAAGACAGCTGTTTACATCAGACGGCCTTCATCCAAGCAAGCTTGGTGCAAAAGTGCTGAAAGACAATATCCCCTTCTCCCTCCATCATCCATCAGCTGTGTATGCCACTGAACTGAATGACACACACACACCTAGCAAATGTCCGGATGACCACAGGACTTTAAATCAGCTCCTGAGTGGACTTGTGGCTGACGCATCCTACAAGGACAGAGATAACACCACGCAGCCACAACAACCACTGATAAAAGACAAACTGCCATCTGTGCCCTGCACACTGAACTCAACACAGGCAGACTGTGATGCATCAGAACACCATCAAGTCTCAGCAGTCTCAGCACTCATGGATGATCCCCAGGAAAACAGCCAGGTAAACATATCTCAGCAGCCAGAAACCCCAGACCCACAGCCTCTGTCACCGGACACGCTCTCATTGTCACCTTGCTCGCCTCTCTTGGATTTTTCAAAAAAGATGGAGGAACTGGTGTGTGCTGGAACTAAACTCTCACACTCCATTGCTGCTAGTCCCCAGTTAGCAACTAAAAATCAGCAAGCCACACGCCCATCTCTAAGCCCACCTCGCCCTACACCTAGGAGAGGCCTCAGGTCTTTGCGACAGCGCCAGGTCCCAAAAAACACCTCATCTTCAGCTGGTGAACTTAAAATCTGCCATTGATGTGTCTCGAGGGCCTGCTTAGATAACAGTGTCTCTATCAGATGTTTACAGAACAAGCAGGAACCCAGTGTGTCTGTAGCTTTCTCTATGCTGATATGTTTCTTATTACGTGACAGAAAACCAAAGACTCTTTCAGACCGTATAGCAAATCATTCAAATCTGGTGTCTATTAAATCTGAGAATTCTGTAGTGAAAACGTCTAAAACTGTTAAGTTAGCACTTTTAAACATTCGATCACTCAATAATAAGTCACTTTTAGATGAAACAGCTCCCTTAAACTTTGACTTTTTGAGTGTTTGCAAAGTTATTAGGAGAGGTGGAGGCATCGCTGCCCTGTTTAAAGATATGTATGAATGTAAACAAGTGTCATTTGGTGACTATTTGCCCTTTGAATATCTGAGTATTGCACTGAAAGGTGCTCCACGCATCTTACTGATCATTATCTACAGACCTCCAAAATATTCTCCAGCTTTTATTGATGATTTTACAGTGCTGTTATCAATAGTAACCTCTGAATTTGATTATTTTAGTATTGCTGGGGATTTTAATATTCACATTGATAATCCAGAAAACAATGCTGTAAAAGAACTGATGACTGTTTTTAACACTTTTGATCTGACTCAGCATGTTCAAGGACCCACACACAATCGTGGACACACTCTTGATCTACTTATAACTAAGGGTTTACACATTTCATCAACTGTTGTTAGGGATGTGGCACTATCTGATCATTTCTGTATTTTCTTTGATATATTGATCACTCCAGCTATTGAAGACAGATCTGTCTCTGTCAGAAAGAGATGCATAAATGAGAACACCAGTGAGCAGTTTATGAAGGCCATATCGCTAGCACCAAGCATATCTGCAGATTCTGTTGATTCTCTCCTTGATTTGTTTAATTCTAAAATTAAAAATGTAATAAATGACATTGCTCCTGTTAAAGTTAGGAAGAGAACTAGCAAAGAGAGAGTCCCTTGGAAAAACTCAAGAGCAGTCCAAATGAAGAAAAGACAATGCAGAAAAGCTGAGCGAATTTGGAGAAAGACGAAACTAGTAGTCCATTGTAATATCTTTAAAGACAGTCTTCATGCTTTTAATGTGGAACTAAAAACTGCTAGACAGACTTTCTTTTCAAACCTTATAAACAACTTAAGAAATCAGACATTATGTCTGATTTCATGGCAATTAACTGTAAAATCTTAGAAGATCTTCCTGGATCTGGATCTTCCAAAAGTGGTAAATGCTTCACTTCTCTCAGGGATTTTTCCAAACTCACTTAAAACTGCAGTTGTTAAACCCCCCTTGAAGAAGAGCAACCTGGATAACACCCTATTGAGCAATTACAGGCCAATCTCAAATCTCTCTTTCATTGGCAAAGTCATTGAAAAAGTTGTTTTTAACCAGGTTAACAAGTTTTTAAACTTAAAGGGGTATTTAGACAATTTTCAATCTGGGTTCAGAGCACATCCCAGTACAGAGAGCGCTCTTATAAAGATAATCAATGATATCCGCCTAAATACAGATTCAGGCAAACTAACAGTTCTGGTACTGCTCGATCTTAGTGCCGCATTTGACACTGTTGATCACAGCATACTTTTGGATAGGCTTGAAAACTGGGTTGGGCTGTCTGGCACGGTCCTCAAATGGTTCAGATCTTACCTTGAAGGGAGAGGTTACTATGTCAGTATAGGTGACCATAGGTCTAGGTGGACACCCATGACATGTGGAGTCCCACAAGGCTCGATTCTGGCACCTCTTCTGTTCAACCTTTACATGCTCCCCTGAGCCAAATAATGAGAAAGAACCAAATCTCCTACCACAGCTATGCTGATGACACTCAGATCTACCTAGCCTTACTGCCTAATGACTACAGCCCCATTGACACCCTCTGCCAGTGCATTGATGAAATTAACAATTGGACGTGCCAAAATTTTCTTCAGTTAAACAGAGAGAAAACTGCAGTCATTGCATTTGGGAACAGAGATGAGGTTCTCAAGGTGAATGCGTACCTTGACTTTAAGGGTCAAACAACAAAAAATAAGGTCAAGAATCTTGGTGTGACTCTGGAGTCAGATCTGAGTTTCAACAGTCATGTCAAAGCAGTCAGTAAATCAGCATACTATCATCTCAAAAATATTGCAAGAATTAGATGCTTTGTTTCCAGTGAAGACTTAGAGAAACTTGTTCATGCTTTTATCAGCAGCAGGGTGGATTACTGTAACGGCCTCCTCACTGGCCTTCCAAAAAAACAGTCAGACAGTTGCAGCTCATCCAGAATGCTGCAGCCAGAATTCTGACCAGAAGCAGGAAATCGAAGCACATCACACCTGTCCTCAGGTTTCTACACTGGCTCCCAGTTACATTCAGAATAGACTTTAAAGTATTATTACTGGTCTATAAATCACTAAATGGCCTAGGACCTCAATACATTACAGATATGCTCACAGAATACAAACCCAACAGATCACTCAGATCTCTGGGATCATATAAACTAGAAATTCCAAGAGTTCAGTCAAAGCAGGGTGAATCTGCCTTCAGCCACTATGCTCCTCGCTGCTGGAATCAGCTTCCAGAAATAATCAGATGTGCTCCAACATTAGGCATGTTCAAATCAAGACTGAAAACACATCTGTTAAGCTGTGCCTTTACTGAATGAGCACTGTGCTACGTCCGACAGATCGCACTATTATGTTTTTTCGTTTTCATTTTCATTCTTTTATAACCTATTTTAACACATTTTAAATTGTTTTTATCTGTTTTTAATCATTTTTATTGTCTGCATTTTATGTCCTAAACTTGTCTTTTTTATTCCTGTTTATGTAAAGCACTTTGAATTGCCACTGTGTATGAAATGTGCTATATAAATAAACTTGCCTTGCCTTTAATGTTTTATTTTTTGTTCAACAGAAGAAAAAAAAAAAACTCAAACTGTTTGAAAAAAAATGGTTAAAACTCAAACTTTACTCAAAAGGAGAGTAAACAATGACATAATTTGTGTTTTGGGGTAAACTATACCTTTAATTGCAAGACAAACTTGAATTGACATCGTTTACAACAAAGATTTAGGACATGTACGGAAAATGTTGTATTTTTCCTCGTGTTTATTATGTATGCTGCAACTTACATAAAATTGTGGTGAACAAATAGTGTTAGCTCACATGTGAGCTTGAAAGTGAATATACATTAACATTTGTCCACTCATTTCAGCTCAAATGTATCTTCAAGATCATGGGCATTTATTTAGTTTTGCCTGTATATGTTTTGTTGTTTTACTCTTAAAGTACTGGCAGCAGTTGTTGGCATTTTAAGAATGACAAAAGAGCACAATTTCAGCTTGAATTTTTTTAATGGTCTACTTAAAACTGTGACCTCCATCTTGGATGGTCAGAGAGTGAGAAATTGAACAGGATTTTTTGAGTGAACTATTCCTTTAATAAACACATCGGAGACAGTTCATAAGACTGCAGTGCTTGTTAATAACCAGTAAATGATCCAACATTCCTAGCAAAAACAATGGATATAAACGGCAGCGTATTAATGCAGTGCCCACTAGGACTTATTTTTGATAAAGACAAAGGACTGGATGATCAATATGGATAGACAGGATCCGTCCTGAGAAGGAATTTGTGTTTGGATGCTATTAAATGCTTAAGACGTTAATACAGCAGTGTAACTATTTAACATCTTGAAAGATTCGTAAAAAATAACCAAAAAGGCAGGATACGTAACTTTGCATAGTAATAATACAGATAAATATACAGCAAGGGCTCAGAAGTGCTTCACATATTAACCTTATTATCACATAATCAGAGCTTCTTAATGTTCATGTTATCCAGCTGTGTCCTGTGGTCGTCACTGTGGCAGAGGTACAAGGACTTTGACGTAGTTCATGGGAAATAAGCCAGACTGGCCTCTGATCATCCCCTCATACCAGTTCTCATCTATCTGGCTGGTCAGAATGATGATGTCGCCCTCTTTAAAGCCCAGCTCGCCCTGGTTTTCTGCCTGGAAACTGTACAGTGCCTGACAGCAGGGCTGATCCAGGGGGGGAGCTCTATCATCTAGCACACATGAAGGAAAATAATGTTTATTTAAGCAGCTTCTTTCACAAGCCAAATGCCATTTTAAATTAAACATTGCACAGACACATTCCAGGGTTTGGTTTAGATATGAAAACAGTTATTATTTGCTTCATCCTTATTTTTATCTCATGTATTGCAAAATAATGTACTCATCTGATAGTAGACAGGGCTTCATTTGTGCCAATGTGGTGCTGAGAAATGCACCCCTGCAGCAAAATGCACCCCTTCATAGACTTTCATAACATACTCAGTGTACATTTAAAAAAAAAAAATCAAAAGGCAATAATTGATTAAAATGTAAAATGATTATTACTTTGATGGATAGAGCAAGCACAAGAAGTGAAACACATTTTAAACTGCACTAGGTTTACAGATAAAAGTAAAATAATAATATTGAAAATTAGGCTTTTTGGTGGGTTTTAAACAGACATTTCGGCTGCATGGAACATATAAAATTGTTGCCATTTTAAACTAAACGACACATTAAACATTTACTTAATCTCATTGGTATTGTATTTAAAGTCAATCTTTATTCATTCATTTATTTATTTATTTATTTATATATGTTCTGTAAGGGTAGGGTTCTATTCATGAAACTCACCTCAGTTGCTCTCATCAGTGTCATAACTTTATTATTATAATTTTTAAAATCAATTTTAGTTAATAGATGCACATTTTGGAGGGGGTTCATTTTTCGGGAGGGGTGCGTTTCTCGACACAACACCAGAATCAGCCTGATCCGGATCTGGCACCTCATTTTACCCATCAACCTTATGCCCAGTTTTCAACTTTGTTTTAAAAATGTTTTATTTGGTTTTCTAACATTTAACAGATCATTACACAAAGAGTATTTTTGATCAATTCCTTACTTCTGTTGGCAAAATTCAGTATACACAAAAGCAAGTACAGTGATTCCAAGCCATTGTTTATTATTTTCAAGTCAGAGTTTAAGCTTTATATAAAAACTATCTATAATCTGAGAAATAAGAAAGCTGTTAAAGTGCATTAATATATGCAAATATGCAAACATTTACATGTTTTTATTATTATTTTTTATTTTTTGTCATTTTCTTTTTCCTTGATTGCTGTCATGCCCTGGCTTTTTCTAATTGTTGTTAGTTTTGAATTGTTCAAAAAAAAATAAAAATAAAAATTTAACCACTTTCTTCCACGATTCTCCAAACCTGTTCCCATTCGTCCATTTACCATCAACCGATATATATATATATATATAAACAGTTGAAGTCAGAATAATTAGCCCCCCTGTTTATTTTCTTCCCCAATTTCTGTTTAATAGTTTTAATAACTCATTTCTAATAACTGATTTATTTTATCTTTGACATGATGACAGCAAATAATATTTGACTAGATATTTTTCAAGACTATATAAGACTTTTATACAGCTTAAAGTGACATTTAAAAGCTTAACTAGGTTAATTAGGTTAACTAGGCAGGTTAGGGTAATTAGGCAAGTTATTGTGTAATGGTGATTTGATCTGTAGACTATTAGAAAAAATATTAGCTTAAAGGGGCTAAGAATATATATATAAATATTCTTAAACACAACAGTTCTGTCTGGTTCTCAAATCTTATTGGCTGATACTCAAACAGTCTCCTCACCCTTCTGTATTATTCTGGTCACACAGAGTACAGCATCTGTTGGACAATATAATGTACTTTTTCTTTAAAGCTATGCAGTTTATTTATAAGGATAGTGCCTATTTCAAAATATTAATAATTTCTGAGAGACACCGCATCCGTTAGCCTGTTATTGAGCAGAGCAAAGATGGTTGACGCTGTCCATCCACAAGATAGCAACAGAGACCGCAAAATAAGCCTTTAAAGGAGAAAAGAGTGTTTGCTTTGCTTTGGCTTTTCCGGGGTTAATTATTGTAATCTCCCGATTGAAATAGAGAAATAATCTTAACATGTGAGCTAAATCTTTAGAATAGTACGCTACAGAATCATTCAAAAACTAGCTCTAAAGTTAAATTTGTAAATTAGCAACGTCTTTTGCTGTTCTGACGTCAGCTGCAGATGTAAATGAACGGCAGAATAATGTAGTTCTTTTCAGTAGGATTTTTGAGACTCTATGTGTCTCTGTGTTTGATTTTCTTCTTTATATAAAGGATTATGCCGTCAAACTGTTGTATAAACACAATATCACATGAGTAGCAGTGCATGATATAGCTGTATATCGTCACTGGTGGGACACTAAGGCAACACACCAGTGCCAATAAACAGCCATATCGCACTGCTACTCATGTGATTTTTCTCATAGTTAGATAGATATCTTAAATAGTTTTTGTTAATGTTTTCTTACCCTATGTTATATGTTTTGCACTCTCAAAAAAAGATTTGTTCTAATTGGCTATCAATGTGTAATCACTCATAAAAACTTTTCTGAAAGCAAGTTACTTTGGTAATACAGTCATCATTAGACGGCTGTGAAATCTGATATAATTTCAAATACAGAAAAAAAATCTCTTTAATGTTATACTGAACAGGTGTAAAATGTAAAAAAATAAATAAATAAATAAAAAAAAAGACTCATTATTATGTAAAATGTATGTAAAAATAATTAGAATATTCTGTACTATTTCTAGTCCTCTTATATTTATATATATAATATATATTGATAAAAAAATCTGTAAAAATACCATAATTGTGCAATATTATTACAATTTAATGTTGTATATATTACAATTTAGTTTTAGATTTTAAAATAAAATATATTCCTGTTATGCAAAACTGAATATTCAGCATCTTGACCAAGTCTTTAATGTCACTAATCCTTCATAAATCATTGTTAACAAAATCACTTTGTTGAAAACATCACAATATCTTTCAGTGTTCATTGATGTGGTTTAAAAGAAAAGCATTTATTTAAAATTTAAGACTGTCCTACTGTTTTGCTTTGCTTTGAATTGCTTTACCGTCATTTTGGTCATTTCAATGCATCCATAATGAATAAAAGCACTCAGACTGATCTACTCACTGATGCTTGCTGGTTTGTCTGTTGTTGGAGTTTTAATGGTGACTTGTTCAGGACGGTGAACCACAACCGGAGCATCTATTAAAGTAAGATTAAAGACATCAGTGGCAAAGAAAAGCTGGGATATTCGCATCTGCCTAATAAACAGAGTGAGTTTGTGCATCACATTAACAGTGACTTACATTTCTCACTCAAAGCTTCAGTAATTTCAGTATCTGTGATACATAATACAGCATTTCAGCTCGCAATGAATTCACAAACTCTTTCGTAAACTGTTCATGTTTAATGAAATCAAATAACATAATTTCACACCTGATGACGGTCCGGATGAGCATGTGGAAAATCCATAAATATCCGAATAGCACACTGTGCTCGCAACTGATTTAGATGCAAATTCCCTTTTGGGCTTATTGCTTGCGTCTCTTATCCTAGACACAGGAGAGAAAAAAAAGAAGGCAGTTGAAATGAGATGAAGGTATGGGGAATCTAATGTTTATAGAAAAAAACTAACTTGGTCTGTAAATTACTCCTGAGGTTTTCCAGAATCTGACTTGACTGGCGATGATAGTCTATTACTGCTTCTAAAAGACCTGAGAGGTGCTGCATCCGCTGGACCTAAAACAAAATGACAATATGCCAAAATGATAAACAAATAAACACAAATAATACTAATTAAACACAAATGATTATTATAATATTAATACGATTATATTATATCTAAATACATACTATATAGCTTTAAAAGTTAACAGTTTTATAGTATGTATACAATGCTCAGCATAAATGAGACCAACACCTTTTGAAAACAAATATTCTTAATAATTAATAAACAGCTTTATTAAAGTTATATCCATAAAAATAAAAGTTTGGGGTTCTAAAATAATATATTTAATTGCAAATGTTATTGGCCAAAAAATAAACAAAATGTGATGTATTTTTATGTTTCTCTTAATTTTTCCAGTTTATTGAAATATTATTTAATAATTTTCCCCACTATATTAATTTGTGTGTTCTAATTTTAGAACTACAATCTAAAGTTATTTTGTTAGATTAGCTTTAGTACGGACTAATCCAATGTATATGCACAAATACACTCACCGGCCACTTTATTAGGTACAGAAAGGTGATTATAGTGATTTTGAACGTGCCATGGTTGTTGGTGCCAGACAGGCTGGTCAGTATTTCAGAAACTACTGATCTACTGGGATTTTCACACACAATCATCACTAGGGTTTACAGAGAATGGTCTAAAAAAAGAAAATATCAAGTGAGCGGCAGTTCTGTGAGTGCAAATGCCTTGTTGATGCCAGAGGTCAGTGGAGAATGGCCAGACTGGTTCCAGCAGATGGAAAGGCAGCAGTAACTACTCGTTACAATAACTGATGAGGCTTGATTTCTGCTCGACTTCTGTCTTCGATTTTCTTGGCACACTTTGGGTCCATTAGTATTAATTGAGCATCATGTCAACACCATAGCCTTCCTGAGTTATGTCGCTGACCATGTCTATCCCTTTATGACCACAGTGTACCCATCTTCCGATGACTACTTCCAGCAGGATAACGCTCCATGCCATAAAGCGGGAATCATGTCAAACTGGTTTCTTGACCATGACAATGAGTTTACTGTACTCAAATGGCCTCCACAGTCACCAGATCTCAATCCAATAGAGAACCTTTGGGATGTGGTGGAACGGCATATTCGTATTATGGATGTGCAGCCGACAAATCTGCAGCAACTGCGTGATGCTATTATGTCAATATTGAAAATCTCTCAGAAATATTTCCAGTACCTTGTTGAATCTATGCCACGAAGGATTAAGTCAGTTCTGATGGAAAAAGTGGGTCCAAACCAGCACTAGTAAGGTGTACCTAATAAAGTGGCCAGCAATTGTGCATTATTGTAAAGAATGCTATATAAACTATTCATCTACAAGAAAGATATGTGAGGGTGGTACTCATTTATATAAACAGTTAAGTCTAAAATTATTCATACCTCTGGCAAATTCTGCCTTTAGTTTTTGTTAAAATGTAGAAGTAAAATATCATTGTATAAAAAAATATATATATATTTAAATTAAATATATACAAATATAAATAAATGTTATACAATGATAGTTATCTCATCATAATAGTACTGTGTTTAATATTGGTTTTTATTTAAGTCTATAAAAAATTGTAATTTGTATGGAAAAATGGACTTACATCTTTCTCTAAGAGATTAAACATGCATCTTTCAGCCATTTCTTTGGATTCTTCAAACTTGTCGAACGCTTTCTTAATTTCAGAGTCTGCAATCTTTCCTTTACGTCTCTTCTTGTAATCAAAATCCAGACGCCGACCTTCAAGTTTTCTCAGATGAAACTGACAACCAGAAAAAAGAAACAAAGCTACAGTTACATCATCATTCACAACAAAAATCAATTTCTTAGTTTTTTCCCTTTTACATGCACAGATTACATTTCAAATCAGTCACAACACTGACGCATTCATTTCGTGGATTTAAAGAGATAGTTAACGTAAAAAATTCAAATCCACTCACTATTTACTCACATTCAACTGGTTTCAATCATTTATGAGTTTCATTCTTCAGTTAAACACAAAAGAAGATACTCTGAGGAAAGCTGAAAACCTGTAACTATTGACTTCCATAGTAGGAAAAACAAATATTATGAAACTCAATGATTTCCCAGTGCTGGGTTGCAACTGGAAGGGCATCCGCTGCGTAAAACATATAAAATAGTTGGCAGTTCTTTCTGCTGTGGCGACTCCTGATAAATAAGGGACTAAGCCAAAAGAAAATGAATGAATAATTGAAAATCAATGGTTAACGGTTTCCAGCGTTACTCAAAATATCTTTTTTTGTATTCAACAAAGTATGCCTTTTTTTTTTTTTTTGTGAACTATAACCTTATTGCATCAGCAAAATGATCAATCTGTTCATTTATCTGAATATTAGCCAGGAAGAATCATTAAAAATATACAATTTGCAGCATTATATACAAGACTAACCCCAATTTCCTTCAGTTCTTTCTGCTGAAGGGATTGCAGAGGATCGATGAAGGCTCGTTTCACTCGGACGTCCATACAGTCTCTGGCCTGGGCGACTTGTTTCAACGCCTCTCCCATTTCAAGCAAAGCAAAACCTACAATAGTTCAAAAATCAACTTGTAGTTTAAAGTGAAAGTTCACCCAAAAATGAAAATTATCTCATTATTTACACTCTATAGTGTTATTTTAAACCTTCAAGAGTTTCATTCTTCTGTTGAACACAATAGAAGATATTTTGAAGAATGCTGGTTGTTGGAGCCCATCAAATTCCATAGTAGGAAATTAAATTGTTTCCCAGAGATGAGTTGCAGCTGAAAGTGCATGCGCTGCGTAAAAACATATGCAGAATAGGTTGGCGGTTCATTCCGCTGTGGCGACACAACAGATCAATAAAGGCACTAAGCCGAAAAGAAAATGAATGAATGAATTAAATGAAATTGTCTATGAAAGACAATGGGTGTCAGCAACCAGCATTCTTCAAAATATCTTCTTTAGTGTTCTCTAAACACTTTTTTTAACAAATGAAAGATGAGTAAATGATGACAGTATTTTCATTTTTTGAGTGAACTATTCCTTTAAAGAGGTGACACAGCAATCAATGCGTTTCATTCAATGTCTCAAAACATACCAAAGCCAGATTCAGCTCCAAGCTCACTGCCGTATTGCAGCATGCAGTCTCCCAGAATGCCCTCTGTCTGAGGGTAACCCACTGCCTTCACATGTCCACGAATTCTAGACACCGTGCTGAGCATGCTGAGCTTCGCCCTGTAAGCTTAAAGAACAAATCTTGCATAAATATCGTATTATTAGTGACTGGAGTACATTTTAAAGGATCACTCCAAAAACATGAAAAGGATCCCATAATTTACACACCCTCGGGCCATACTCAGTGTAAATGACTTTCTTCTGTCAGACTAACAAAGTTGGAGTAAAATGTTTATTCTGGCTCTTCCATGCTGTATAATGATGCTTTTAACTTTCAAAAATCATCAAACTACTCCATACACCACCAAGAGATTCCTGTCATGATATCAATTTTTTGTTGTACAATATATTGCGCCAAAATATAATGCGATGAACAATATTGTTGTTATTTTAAGACCATCTTATGCCACCCATTATATAATGCCAGAATGACAATAAAATATGATCACAATGCAAGTACACTCTTCCGAACATTTTATTTTTAAGAATATTTAATTTTTATCATAGCCATTTAATAGTCCTAGATAAATAATAATAAATGTTAACAAAAAAGTGCAAGATAAAAAGTAACAGAGGCTGCAATATCTGGTACAAGATCTATTTTCAGTTGTCAGACACCCACATAAAATATACTACAGTAATTTATAGTGGATACTAGTGTTTTTTAACCATATTGACACTGACACCTACAACAGAGATAGAGATGTTGCACAATCATTTATGTATGGGCGATATGTATTGCATCATCAGAAATGATTGATGTTATCTCCATGTGTTGTGCGATAAGTTGATATATTGACTATTGTCACAGGCTTATGGGGGGGATAACGCACATCTTATGTAGCAGACTGATCTGTTTTTGCAACAAATAGTAGTCATTTTTTAATGATAAACTTAAATCACTGAATGTCCAAATGCACGGCTGATCTCTGACTTGACGTACAACATAATGCATGACGCAAGAAGCATTCGTAGCAGAACAGCGAGTCATAAACTGTATAATGTTATACAGTAATCCCAAGCAAATTAGATTTCTTGTTCATCATCATCTTCTGTGGTAAGCAAACTGCATAGTAAATTATTCCAGTGAGACGCGTCTATTCACAGAACTTCACATTCATGCAAATAATTATTCATACTTCATCAGGAATGCAAATCATTAAATTTTTAAATATATTTTTGTAAGAAAACTGCATGGATTTGCTTCATAAGGCATACATTAGCCCCCTGATGGCATATGTATTAGATTTAGGACAGATTTATGCACTTTTGGGATAGCATAGGGAAACTAGGATAAAAAAAATTTAACTACTCCAACTGTCTCAAAGAAGAAAGTCATACACGGCATGGGATGCCCTGCAGGAAGAGTAAATTGTGGAGTGTTTTTCATTTTTGGTTGAACTATTTTTTTAATAGTTGCAGTAATACAAGCCAGCAGGTGAAAAGAGTAAAACAGTTATGACCATACTTCCCCAGTTGATCAATTACACTAAGATCTGCAAACTTGTTTTGTATTACAAGCTTTCTAAAATGTTACGATTAAACATTTCAATGATAATACACTTCATTTTGTTAATTATGCACTAATTTGCAAGCATTTCCAAGCACACAATCTGAACATTGGATGATTTCAGGTTAAAAATCTCAATTTTAATAGCTCTACAGTTCAGAAAATACATTTGAACAATCTTTCATATATAATGAAATACATTATATGAACAAAACTAAAACTTAAGAATGCAGATATGAAACAGTGAAGTTTGGTGTATGTTAAAGTTCTTGAAATGGAGATTTATGGCTCGGAGAAATATGTAGGAGAAATATGTATATTAACTGAAACCTACAGACAAAAACGGATAACGTGACAAAAGACACTTTAAAGTAGGGCTACACGATATCAAAAAAATCTGATACTCCAATTATTATTATTATTTTTTTTTTTTTGAGTACCATCTTTCAGATGAGACATTAAACTGAGGTCCTGACTCTCTGTGGTCAAATCTCAGGATGTTCTTCGAAAAGAAGTAGGGGATTAACCCCAGCTTTCTAGCCAAATTTGCTCACAGGACTCTGTCCATCATCTCCTAATGACCCCCATATCATAATTGGCTTCATCTCCACTCCACCAAATGTGTAAAGCGATTTGAGTGTGTATATATAAATGTAAGGAAATATTATAATTATTATAAATATTTTGATACAGATAAACGAAATAGTTTGAATGGCACTTATTGACAGTTTTATTGGGAGTCTAACAGCTTTGAAGTACAGCAAAAGAAAGAAATCGCAATGCAAAAACATGCTTTTCGTACTTTGTCTCATTTGCAGTCCAAATATCTAAAAATTCTTAGATCAAGTAAAAATATTGTCTTATTTTCACTTAGTTTTCATTTATAACATGCTAAATTATCTGCCAATGGGGTCAGTAAAATAATCTTTTCACTATGAAATGTTGACATTTGGACTAGAAACAAGACAAAAATTCTAAGATTTCCATAGATTTTCATACGATTTCCATAAATCGTATAAATTCTGTAAACATAATTAAATGAGATAACTCCTTGTTAAACCTCCAAAGATCATATTTTATTTGAGCCAAATGTTCCGACATTTCTTAAAATGCTCAGTCACAGGCCTCAAAAACACATGCAAACTCACTCTATTATGTCTAAACTTAGCAGTGACTCTACAAACCACATCTGTTATGTACAGTAGCTCCAGGTCAACTAATTCAGACTCAAAATTGCAGATGAACACATTGTGATATCCATGCCGAAACAATATATTGTGCAGCCCTACTTAAAAGTGTATTTTAGATGTTTTCTTTACAATAAACTAAAAGTTGGCTTAAAAGACACCTAACAATGACTTTTAAAGACCATTTCAATGTATTGATGGCATAATCCCATGAACATTTCCTGCTTGCTATCAAACTATTTCATAACTGTAACAAGAGGCAATTAAATCATAACTTCATGTTGAAACAGCCATCATAACATTATTTATCAGTGTGGCTCTTTTTGGATTCTCGAAAGCTGTAGAAATTCAAAATACAAAACAGGAAATCCGTTGGGAGCATTGTTTTTGTTTACAACCCTCAAAATGGTCTATTGTTAAATACCTGGGTTCGGCTGAAGATATCCAATCGTTTTTGGAACAATATCAAGAATGAGTTTGTGGGTAATTTCAGTTTTCTACAACAAAACAATCAATATACAGACAATAAAAAGGTGGTAAGGGGCTTTCATATTTCAAATAAATGTTTTCTTCATTGTATTGAATTATTTATTTATACCCTTTCCATGCTGAGGAACTCCTCATCCAGTTTTGTTCCTTCAACGCCATTGATCTTTTCTTTTAGCAACTGTAAGCATAATCAGAGAGAGGAAAAAAGGTTGTTTTTCTTTTTGTGAAGTGGGCTTGACAAAAAAAAAAAGCACAATGAAAAGACAGTGGCGTAAAGACCATTTTCACTCATAAATTGTTCACAATTTCACAAACAAAGCCAAAGAAATGGCAACTCTCATTGTTTGAAGCAAAAAACAAAACAAAACACCGAAATAGCATTTTCTTGTAGCATTTTCTTGAAAAAAGCATTTTCTCATTACAAATGTAAACATATCTATTTAAACATTGTACACCCTATTGTAATCTGGACACATATGATTCTTCTTAATATATAAGGTACAATATTAAGAATACTACAAAGAGAGCTGGCTAAAAATTATCTCTAAAGATTAATAGCAATCCTTGCACAATGACATGATAACCCATGAATCAATCCAACAACATTTCAAACAAAACCCGGAAATCCACAAGCCGTGCCTATTTTAACACATTGTGATTACTGAGCATCTGTTTCCTGCGGTTCATACACCAAAGTGTTTATCAAAGTCAGTCCTTCAGCCAATACTTCCCAAACACTAAGAGGATTCAGACCGCGGTGAGCGAATTAAAGGAATGTGACCTTGAAAAGCATACTTTTGCTGGCTTGGAGACCAAGAAACTTTCCCTAACACTGTAAACAAAAGCTCCAGGAATGAGGCTTCATTAGCAGTTCCAGCTTTTATTATCCACCATAAACCCAAAACTTTATCAGATAGTAGTGGAGTAGTGGACTTTGGATTCAAGAAACAGACAACACCCTTGTGTAGCTTTGCTAGTTTTTATATTAGCATGTTTAGCTCTGCAGTAACTCAACACAGATTTAGCAACACAGTGTGAGAAGGAATAAATAAAGTAAAAGAAGTACAAGTCACTTTGAGCAGAAATAAAAAATTTCCTTTAATCTAATTTCTGTTTTACAACATCCTCTTCTGCCTTTGCATGATAGTTCTGAACAGTAAGACTATTCAGTATTAACTAGGCCATCACATCAGGTCACACACGATTGGATACAGTTACTCTACATCGGGCAAACAGAGAAAGATTGAAAGGAAAGAAGGGAAATTCTTACTACTGGTAGCGAATCGGTTCATTCGAATACAACGATTCAAAGAATCGATTCAAAACAGATTCAGAGTTTTGTTTTGCTTTTAATAAGCTACTAACGACCTTTCTAACAATAACAATGCTTCATTTGAATGTAGCCCATTTAGGGTTTTCTTGATGCACAACACTTTAATTATTATCAAAAAAATTATTATCAAAATAAATAAAAATAACTTTTTTTGCCAGTTTACATTGATCACAAGATTTAGTTAAATTTTAATTAAATTTCTGAATTAACTTACTAATTTTAGTAAAACATGTAGGCCAAAAATAAATTAAAATAAGAAAATAAGATATTTTCCTCCATTTTAATTTATCTGACCACAAAATAACCCAATTGATTGCAATGATTTTATTATAACAGTCAATTAATAATTACTCTGTGGCTATACAATTTAGTGAATAAATTATTATAGGCTTGCAATGTATTTAAAACCAGAGAACAAGCCAAAACATGACCACCACGAAAGTTAAAACGTGCAAACATTTTGGTTACGCTTTTACTAATAACTTATTCTTATTTTTCGTAACGAATGGAGGAAATTGGCTGATTTATAAGGGGAAAAACAAACTTCACCCTCATGTCTTGTGCAGTGCTAAACAACATTGTTCACTTATCACCGGGGAACCGATTCAAATTTGACTGAATTTGATTCAATAGAAAGATTCGACTCAAAAGAACAATTCATTCACGAATCAAACTGAGATTACAACATCCTCCCAACAAACGCGGTATGTCACAAAAGTACAAAAACTCTTTAAAAGTGCCAAGTACAGACATCGCGTGTGCTATCTATGCTAAAAACCAACGACATACGCAATAACATAAATCTTCTTTTCACCGTCGGAAAAACGCTCGTATTACCTGACTAGCTTTGTGAAACTGTTTCTTAAACCCGGCCACTGACATCCTTCGTCCTTAAATGTGTCCCAGGGACCGTCGAGTCGGGATGGCTCGGTCGGTGCATTAGCTATCTCTGCCCGTGAGTCCACATTGCTCTCTCCACCCTCTTTCCTTCCGTCGCAATGTATGCTGTTATTTTGCACCTTGGGACGCTGCCCAGATTTGATTGGAGGGGCAGTGCTGAGATCCTGCAGCTCCGGTCCTGGAGGTCAGTCATCGGTTACTGCCGCAAACATTTCACGAGAAGGTGAGACAGAGGACAGTTGTAGAGATGTAGGACAGTGTTAGCCTACTTTAGGACTATATTCTGAAAATTGCCAGAAATAACTTCCCTATGGGGAAGTTGTCACACTTTTTACTTTAATGAATGAATCCATGTTTAAGTCTCGACTAATAACAATAAATAGCCCACACTGCACTTACATTTTGATCAATATTGGGGTAAGTTGTCAAATTAAACGTCATAATGGCCTAAATGCTTAAAATAATAAACTAAATGGTCAAAATTATCTTACCAGTACCAGTTAAAGTTTGAAATAGCCTAGACTTTCACTTTGATTATTCTATCGAAGGTAACACCTATTTGAATGAAGTATTATTATGAAATAATTTGACGAGCTTTGTATTTTTATATATTTAAAAAAGTATTTTCTTTTACTACTTCACATTACAATTGTCATTTATTAATGCAAACTTCTGGAAAAAGATTGGGTCATTGCTACTATATGTATACTGTATGCAGTGGCATTTGTATCCGCAAGGCATTATATACAGAATATTTAAAAATGCAATTTTAAAAACATCCTTAAACCTTGTCTGATAGGATTATCGTAATTCCACAATAGGACAAAATGATAATGCTATAAATTAATTACAATTTAAAATAATTACTCTAATTTCAGTGCAAGTTGCTGAATTGTCATGCTCATGTCAATAAATACTATACTTTTCGTTGATCTTGTATTGTCATATATATATATATAATCCAGTGCTCAGCATAATCGAGTACACCCCATTTTGAAAATGAATATTTGTATCCATTTCTCAGTGAATATAGGCTTGAATATGTCTTTTGGTGCATTTAAACAAAACAGATTTATTAAACAGATATATTTATTAAAATAATATTTTAGTCACCAAACATATTTAGAAATTTAAAGAGAATACAATTAAATTCAAGTTCATTTATTCATTAATTTTCTTGTTGGCTTAGTCCCTTTAATTATCCAGGGTCGCCACAGCGGAATAAACCGCCAACTTATCCAGCACGTTTTTTACACAGCTGATGCCCTTCCAGCTGCAACCCATCTCTGGGAAACATCCACACACACTCACACACTACGGACAATTTAGCCTACCCAATTCACCTGTAATGCATATCTTTGTACTGTGGGGGAAACCGGAGCACCCAGAGGAAACCCACGCCAAGGCAGGGAAAACATGCAAACTCCACACAGAAATGCCAAATGAGCCAAGGATTGACCCAGCAACCTTCTTGCTGTGAGGTGACAGCACTACCTACTGCGCCACTGCATCCATTAAATTCAAGTTACAAACTACAAAAATCCAACTAAATATTTCCATTTTTTTGCTTCTTGACCTTTCCTCATTTTAACATGTAACATTTTTCTATAACATAAATTTGGGTGTCCTATTTTTCTGGACTGTTATTTTAAGTTATTTTGTCAAATAAGCTCTAGATTTGGCTTTAGTACTGACTAATCTAATGTATATGCACTAATATAATATTGTTTAGCTTCCTATTAAAAATATGAATGAGAGATTTGTGAGGGGTGTACTTATATATGCTGAGCACTGTACATCTCACCGAATGCTATTTTTAAAAAATAATTAAAATAAATTAAAATCAAAATTCAGAACAGAAAATCAAAAATGGTTTGAAAAACATTTCTTGTTATTATTGTAAAAAAAGATTTTACACTGCTTATTTGTAGAGCAATAATAATTTGATATTTGTAGAAAATGTGATGCAGTACAGGTCAGAAGTTTAAAAAAATTATCATATTCAGGAAAAATCAAAAGCTAAATGAGATGTAATTTAACAGTATGAAATATTACATTTCAAATAAATGGTGCTCTCTCTAAAAAATAAAAAAGCAGCACAACTTTTTTTGTCACTGATAAAACATGCATCAACTTGCTGGACATTACATTTATTACAAATATATAAAAATAGCCTTATCCAGTGAACACCCGTCACTGTTGTTTACTCTGTTGTTTACCCTACAGCAACAGCAAAATATGACCACATTTGTACAGATTCATTCATAATCTTGTGTGAGTAAACACATGCTGTTGAAGCATTTATTGAGAAACCACGGTTTCAATCTCTTTTTGTGATTCTTAATAAGCAGTGAGTGGCTTTCTGGGACTTTTGCCAACACACTAATATTTTCCATCCAAGCCTCTGGTGCTTTTTTATAACATTCTTCATATCTCAAATGTAAATATCAAATCTTTAAATAAATGCACTTAGTGGGTTCTGAGTATGTCATCATAAACTCTCTTCATTATCTGTGTGCTTCTTTAGAAACTGGATGGCAGGGTCTTGATTGCATCTCATGGCCTCCTGTAAGGCAGTCTTTCCCCACCTGTAAGATCAACATGGCATACATTATTTCTGCTGACCAGGATGGTAAGTTTAGCACAGCCGTCTTGCAATATTAACATTATGCATGACTTTGACTGTTACCTGTCCTTCAGATGACAGTTTGCTCCTGCATTTTCCACCAGGAACCTGATGACATCCAGACGGCCCTCAGAGGCAGCGACATGCAGTGCTGAACGTCCATCATAATCCACTGCATTCACATCTGCTCCTGACAGAAGGTACCTGCATAAGAGATATCAATTCATTGTAGTTCACAATACTGGTTTAGTGGCCATTTAGAGTCAGATTGGAAACAAAATTCAGATATAAATAAAAATCAGTTCAGATTTAGATAAAAAAAATCAGTTATCTTTTTGAAGAATGTATATGAAGAAAAATATGGCAACGTTTGCAATTGAATTGAACAGAAATTAAAGGCAAAACGAGAAATATCATTTCAATATCTAAATACTTTGTTGTATTATTTTTTATTTAATATAATTAAATATATATAATTTAATACAAATAAAGAAATACGAATATAAATAATATTCATGGTTATTTATACAAATATAAAGCATAAAACATATTTTTTTGTATTTTTACATGTAATATATTTACAGGTATATCATTTAAGTAAGTTGTAAAAACTTAAAGGGTACCTATGTTACCTTTTTCCAGATTTAATACAAGTCTTTTGTGTCTCCAGACTGTGTAAAGTTACAGCTCAAAACACCCTAAAGAATATTTATTATACCTATCACAAGTTTCTATTGGATAGCTCTGACCATTAGGTAGCGGTTTCGTTGTACTGCGGCTTTAAGGCTAGTCCTTCATCCCCAACATTTCCACATGCCTGTCAGCGTGCATTAAGCTCCTCCCTAGGCTGCTTCAGACACAGACAGACATGAAGGAAGAAGATCTCACGTAAAGTTTGTGAGAAATACTACAGTAAGAACTTTACCAATGAGTATTGGAAGCATTTGTTGTGGAGTTGCAACAATGAGTCTCACACAATGTCGGCAGGGGCAAACCATTTTTTAAATGTGGGCCAATCAGTTTTTTTTAATTAATTTTTTTTATATGTATTGTTTTTACATGCAGGCAGCTTTTATCTCTTTCAAGATGTGAATAATATGAGGATAATGATGACGATGATGATGATAATAGTAATAATAAATGTTAAGCATTGGCCCAATCGGCAACAACCGGATGGTTTTGAGATGGGCCGACCCAATCAGAGGTAAACCGGACATAATCAAAAATCTGGCAAGAATGTCAAATAAAGCTACAAACAAGCTAATTGTTAGAGATGGAGCATAAAAAATTAAAGGCAGGGCCAAAAAGCTCAGAGAAAAAAAAGTCTCTAAAATCAGACGCTGCCAAATGCATAAAATTAAATGAAATAGTCTTGAAAGGGGGCCGCGCAGTGGCGCAAGAAGGTCGCTATTTTGAGCCTCGGCTGGGTCAGTTGGTGTTTCTTTGTGGAGTTTGCATGTTCGCGTAGGTTTCCTCCTGGTTTCCCTCACAAGTCCAAACACATGTGCTATAGGTGAATTGGGTAGGCTTAATTGTCCGTAGCGCATGTTTGTGAGTGTGTGTGCATAGAGGTTTCCAAGTGATGGGTTGCAGCTTGTAGGGCATCCGCTGCGTAAAACATATGCTGGATAAGTTGGCGGTTCATTCCGCTGTGATAACCCCAGGTTAATAAAGGGACAAAGCCGAAAAGAAAATGAATGAATGAAATGATTGCATATATAAATTTGTTATAAATAAGTTTTTTTTTTTGTTCCAGTCACATACATTAAATATTTAAATATCTATTACATATGGTACTGCTTATATTATTTCACCATCTGTACACCGATCTAAGTAGTGAATGTGCGCGTCCGTGCATGGGGGTGTGTCAGTGTAGTAATGTGGGCTGGTGTGGCTACAGTGCCAGGGCTGATTTGTAGTCCCAGTCCACCCCTGAATGTCGGTACAAAGTTCACGCACGCACACACACACTGTAAACTCAAACTGTGTTTAGCTTTGCACCATTTTTGCACGCAAATGTGACGGGATACAGGTTAATATCCACAGCTGTATGGGTATCTGTTATGTTAATGTACAAAATAAACCTGGTTTAATGTCCACAAACTGGGATTGAAGCATCTTCTTTTATTATTGTACTGACACTTGGCTGTGGTTATAAAGTAAAGCTGAAGTAAATCGCTGTAATTCATTACACATATGTACTTTAAAACATTTTAAACTCGTAAAACTCACTCTTGATCACATTTGATGATGATTGATGATCCTAGCAAACTTTTATTTCCGGTTGCTTTGCGCACATCCTGTCTTGTTGATATGATTATACATGTGAATACGAAGACATGTTAATACGCAGCTGTCAATCAATATTGGTGGGCGGGGGGACCGCACTCCTATGTCAGATTGCGGCCGTTTTGAAAACCGCTCCAATTGGTCCATGTTTATGTTGTAAAATTGAAAAAAAAGGACTGGGTGTGTTTATATCACCCCAATATGATGGTCTATACACCATACCTACACATATGTCTGTTCAAACAGCTTGAAAAGTAGATTTTTCAACGATTCGATTATTTGATTATTCGTGTGCTACAGTTAAAGGATTAATCAAAAAAAGATTACGATCTCGATTCGAACCCCTAGGTGATTTTAATCCAGCATTTCTACGATTCTGCCAATCATATTTTCAAGTTCGAAGAGAGACAAAGGTGGCTGCACGAGTCTTTTCAATGTTTCACATACGTTGCTCAGCGACATGGACACCTCCAAATGATGTTCAAAGAGTCACATACTCTATTTATTAGGCAAAATTCTCCCAAAAATGTCATTTTTGTCTTCATATTATGATGTATTCGTGGCCGGGATATCACACATGATGTGAGCTGCTGACCATGAGCTGTTACCACAGAGAGGGCGGGCACGTGCCCTACTTAATAATAGACGCGCACAGGTCTACTTTAGTTAACCAGAACCTGCATAAGCTGTGAGTAGAAGGTAATAAAGTTGTAAAAATATTTAGTTTGTGGCACAGAGTGATCGTTTGAGAGCTGCGGATGAATTATGAACAGCACTTAGCAGTGAAAATGAAACCGAGAGCGCGCACATCATTTAAATAAGCATATCGCATTTTAGAGTTATGATAGCGAACACACAGTTGTGCATGAAAATAAATGTTTACAGTGTCAGTATAACTACTCTAGCCTTTATATATTGAATATAATGTAAGAGGATATCTGATAATGACAAATGTCGGATTTTACCAGTGATTAAAATGGTCTAATAATGTTGTCAATGACAGATTGCAAGCATGTATCTTAAACATAATAATTCAGCATCAGAATTATTATAAGTAGAATTGAATTATTTATAGAAACCAGTAGACCCACACATAATATTATTATTGTTGTTTTACCATATGTTTTAGAAATAACAATAACAATAGCCTACTCATATTAACCTTAATTTTACATCTACAGAATCATGAGAAAATTGTGATTTTATTTTAAGCAAAAAAATTGCGATTCTCATTTTAGCCAGAATCGTGCAGCTCTAATTAGGTGCCCTTTAGTTTACAGGAACAGAAAACATAATTAATTTACTACATTTTAAAGTATAAACATTAATTTTCAAAAATGTGTGTATTAATACAACTCATTAAATGACATGGAAAGTATAATTTCCCCAATATTTTATCTTCTGGAGAAAGTCTTATTAGTTTTATTTCAGCTAGAAGAAAAGCAGTTTTTAATTTTTTAAAAACCATTTTAAGGTCAAAATTATTAGCCCCTTTAAGTTATATATTTTTTCTATAGTCTACAAAACAAACCATCGTTATACAATAACTTGCCTACCTTGGCTAACCTGCCTAGGTAACCTAATTAACCTAGTTAAGCCTTCAAATGTCACTTTAAGCTGTATAGAAGTGTCTTAAAAATATCTAGTTAAATATTAGTTCCTGTCATCATGGCAAAGATGAAAATCAGTTTCAGAGATGTGTTATTAAAACTATTATGTTTAGAAGGGTGTTAAAGAAATTGTCTTCTCATAAAAAGAAACTGGGGAAAAAATAAACAGAGGGGTTAATAATTCAGGGGAGCTAATAATTCTGACTTTACTGTAAATAATGTTATAAATTATCACACAAATCATAATGTAATTTTAAAATGAATATAGAATATTCTTACCATTTCATTGTGGTATTATAATAATTTATTTTTTAAATGCTAAGTTATTAATATAATTGAAGGTTTTAATATAATTGAAATATAATTCAGATATTATTTATTAATATTAGAATGAAAAATAAAAATGGTTTCTGCTGGTTGTTATGGACACATCTTGGCTGACCCTACCTGCGCAAAGATACCAGGTCCCCTCTATAAGCAGCCAGCAGTACATTCATGATCTGGTACCCCTGTAATTCAATACAAAAAATTTATTTACCTTCATAGATTTAGCAATATGGTATTCATATACTTCCATATACCCAACAGTACCAGGAATGTACATAAATCATTCATATACAGTCAAAATTATTAGCCCTCCTGTGAAATTAATTCTTTAAGAAATATTTCCCAAGAAACCCTCTTCAACACAAGAAATATTCTTCAACACATTATTAAACAGTAGTTTTAATAACTAATTTCCTAAAACTCATTTCATTTGTCTTTGCCAGTGATGACAGTACATACTATTTTACTTGTTACTTCGCAAGGTTCCAATATTTAGCTTAAAGTGCAATTTAAAGGCTTAACTAGGTTATTATCTCAACTAAGCAAGTCAGAATCTAGACAAGTTATTGGAAAACAGGGTTCTGCAGACAATCAAAAACTATTCTCATGGGGGCTAATAATATTGTCCTTAAAATTGTTTTAAAAAAAAGACAAACAAAAAGAAATGAGGCTTGCCCCAGAACAAAATAATATTATAGGAACTACTGTGAAAATGTCCTTTGTCTGTTAAACGTAATTTAGAAAACTTTAAATTGAATAAGAAAAAATCATAGGAGGGATAATACATTTGACTTCAACTGTATTTACATACATGCATAAGTAAGAAATGAAGTACATACAAATGTAAAATAATTTAAAGGATAAAAAATCTAATAAATGGAAAAAAGTAACCAGACCTCTGACTCCACCTTCCACTGTCTGTAACACAGCACCTGCCTGAAGGGAGTCCTGATGTCAAAACTGTGCAGCTGGAAGGTTGAAACCAGCTCCTTTGACAATAATAATAAGCCGACAATAATTAGTCACCATGTTCACAAGATTAGATTTTTTACTTGACAGTCTTTAAGTTGGTCAGATTGCTGGATGGATGGATGGATGGATGGATGGATGGATGGATGGATGGATGGATGGATGGATGGATGGATGGATGGATGGATGGATGGATGGATGGATAGATAGATAGATAGATAGATAGATAGATAGATAGATAGATAGATAGATAGATAGATAGAGGAAGGGAGGGGAGAGAGAGAGAGAAAGAGATGGAATTGGATGTACATTATAGTGCAGAATGAGTTATCATCCATGTTTTCGAACCAAGAAAGACCAAATTTTTATCACTCTTAACCCTTTGACAAATACGATCACATCGGTGTGATTTGAACATTTATTGGGTCACATAATCAGCTGCTAAATTCAAATCTGCTTTTCTGCAAAAAGCTCATGCTAAGCCAGAGTTTTTTTTGTTTGCTAAGACAATGTATCATGGTTCTCAAACAAATACTGGTTATTTTAGGTTTCAGGCATTAAAATACACATAAGGACTAGCAAAACATAATATTTGTAGTTTGTAAAATACATGCTGATATCTATGAAGACGGCATTAATAATTATCTTTAAACATAAATTGACAAAGTGCATTATTCACATCGGATGCAGATTGTTTGGACAATCAGAACATTTACTCTTCTTCTGCCAGTTAAGCAGCAACAATTTTTTAAATTGTATTTTAGGAGAAGTTGATGGATTAACATGTTTTAAATCCAGCATATTTCTTCTCTCCACTACAGTGCAGAATAACATGGTGGCAGCCATCACCCACCATGCCAGATATTTAACAATATATTTAGGACATTTTAATAATTGCAGAAAATAGGGAAAAGTAACAAAACGTTATATGCTTAAATCTTTCATTCTACGGTGCATCATGTGATAAAACTGACATGTAGTATTTAAAAAGTATGTGTGAAAAGTAAAAGACTTTTTCCTCCCCATAGATGAAAACTTTCTTCCCCAAAGAACTTTCTGAACATTTTCTCGGAACAATTAATTTCTTTGTGTGAAGGACATTTTAATCATCTACATCATCAAATATTCAGTTGAATCTTTTAATTGCATAGTAGGTGGAGGTGATTCTTTATTGGCTTTAATGGTTCCATAAATAATATTTTAATATGTGGAAGCTTTGTGGCAGGAGGTAATGGTTAAAAAATGTTCAGTTTTCAGTGCGTTAACTTGCAGGAATCAAATGTTTATCCTATGACCAACACAGACTACATTTACATGGATATTAGTAATCAAATAATTTGCCTTAATCTGAATAAGACAATAAAATGATTAAGATGTTTACATGAGTTGCTTTTTGAATGTTCCCCCTACATGATCCTGTGTTACATGTTATAGAACAAAATTCGATTAACGTCAATGCATCACCACGCTATCCACATTTCCTCCAGAGTTTCAAGTAATTTTGGGTGTTTCATTTTTAATTTGTTGACTTTAACTGCAGCTTGGCGCTTTCACTTGGCATTCAGGAACATTTCATGCATGCCCCCGTGACAAACAAGATATTGGATGCGAGTATGACCTGCTGGAAGAGTGTTGTTTTAATAGAATTTGATATCACACGCCATATGGTAAAAAAACCTCTGCATTTCGCAATGTGCAGGTGTCTCTGGTCCATCACTGACTCTGTAGGTGCAGAGAATAGTGTCAAACAGCCATGTGTATAGACTGTCACAAAATGCGGCGAAAGTCCCACACTACGGTACTAGTTTGATTAAGGTGTTCGCAGGTCTGTTCTGCACTTTTAATGTGACTAAAATCGGCATACTTCACGTCTTAATTCGATTTCTGTTTAGTTCAATTATGACTTTAGTCAGATTAAGGTAATCAAAAATCCCTGTTTACATGGTAGACACTTAATCAGAGTTTAACCAATCGGATTGTTGGTATCCATGTAAATATACTCAATGTGGCTAGAAAAAAAAAACATTGTAAAATTAGATTTTATGTGGCCTCTTAGAACTTTGAGATTCTTGGTAAAACAGAAAAATCACTTCTATTTGTTTGATTGATATATTTTTATTGTTTACGAGAACAATCAAGGAAAAAAAGTATTATGATCATCAAATACTGTAAACAATAGGGTGTCTTTAATTAAAGTTGAGAACCGCAGGTCTAACTAACTTCAACATACTGACTCACAAGCATACCTCACAGAAATGAACACTCCTCCAGGAATTTCCATTGCAATCCAGTCCAGGTGACCAACACATGAGTCCCAGAACTGCAGGAACCACCATCAGCACAACACCAGACTGACTGGACTTGGCAGGGACAGACACCTGCATGTAACAACCATATTAAACACAGTTATATAATCCATAAATAATTCAGCTGTAAATCCTCAGCACTTGTGAAAGATGCTCATCATTACTAAATGGATCTGACCGCTCTCCATTAGAGGGCAGTAGAGTAATGTCTAATTCTTACACAGAACCTTCAAATCATCATGGACACTTCACTGCTTTTCATCACTGATGGTTGTTAACATTATTGCTAATTAGCGTGTCTTGATAGGGGCTCTTTTAATTACTTACATGAAAGTGGGAGCAAATTGAATTATTTAGAAATCCTCCTCGAGATGTGGGAGTAATTTGCGGAAAAGAAACAAAAGTGACACTAAACCTGGAATGCATCATACAAACATGACTCATTATTTATCAGCTTAGTCACAGACTCACCCTGAAATGAAACGCTCTGGAATAATCATTCATGCCAGCCACCTGCATCATGGTCAGGGTACTGCGGACGGCATGGGGTGACATCACTTGGTCACCAGATAGCGGGCACAGGCCTCCGTTAGCAAGCGTTGCTGCCAAAGCTGCACCAGACTCGCATGTGACTTCTGTTGATAAACACTAACAAATTTAAAAAATTAGAGGTGCATAAAGAGGTTAAAAATTCTGCTTTTGTGAAAGAGCAGACACTGAAAATGTTAAATGGTAACTCGATTTAAAACAGAAGTATCTGGACTAAAATATACTTGATTAATTGTAAAAGAAAAAAAAAAAAAAGCTCTGTATTGTACTTAGCAAGACATCCCACATAGCAAAATTTCTCTGGCCCAGATCTGGCCCATACAGTCAGTTTTTGCTTGGCCCACATGCCCCAGTAAATTACAGTACATGACTGGACCAAGTCTGTTTTCCATACAAAGGCCAAAAATGGACCATATCTGGGCCATAATTATAATATATATTAATAATAACAATAGTGTGGTAAACTGTTTTATACAAGCAATAGTATAAACCAAAATAAAAAGGCTTTGCTAAGTATTATTTTGTGACATATATATATATATATATATATATATATATATATATATATATATATATATATATATATATATATTTAAAATGAAATACACTCACTGGCCACTTTATTAGGTACACCTGTCCAACTGCTCGTTACCGCAGATTTCTAATTAACCAATCACATGGCAAAAACTCCATGCATTAGGGCATTTAGTCATGGTCAAAACAATCTGCTGCAGTTCAAACCAAGCATCAGAATAAGAAAGGTGATTTAAGAGACTTTGAATGTGGCATAGTTGTTGGTGCCAGACGGGCTGGTCTAAGTTTTTCAGTAACTGCTGATCTACTGAGATTTTCACATACAACCATCTCTAGAGTTTACAGAGAATGGTCTGAAAAAGAGAAAATATCCAGGGAGCGACAGTTCTGTGGGCATAAATGCCTTGTTGAGGCCAGAGGTCAGAGGAGAATGGCCAGACTGGTTCCAGCTGATAAAAAAGACTCAAACTCAAATAATCACTAGTTACAACCGAGGTATGCAGAAGAGCATCTTTGAATGCACAACACGTCTAACCTTGAGAGGGATGGGCTACAGCAGCAGAAGACTACGCCGGGTGCCACTCCTGTCAGCTAAGAACAGGAAACCAAGGCTACAATTCTCAAAGGCTTACCAAAATTGGACAATAGAAGATTGGAAAAACGTTGCCTGGTCGGATGAGTCTTGATTTCTGCTGTGACATTGGGATGGTAGGGTCAGAATTTGGCATCATCAACATGAAAGCAGGGATTCATCCTTCCTTGTATCAACATCCCAGGCTGGTGATGGTGGTGTAATGGATATTTTCTTGGCACACTTTGAGCTCATTAGTACCAATTGAGCATCATCTCAACCCCACTGACTACCTGAGTATTGTTGCTGACCATGTCTATCCCTTTTTGACCACAGTGTACCCATCTTCTGATAGCTACCTCCAGCAGGATAACACGCCATATCATAAAGCATGAATCATTTCAGACTGCTTTGTTGAACATGAAAATGAGTTTACTGTACTCAAATGGCCTCAACAGTCACAAGATCTCAATCTAATAGAGCACCTTTGGCATGTGGTGGAATATGAGATTCGCATCATGGATCCGCATCCGACAAATCGGCAGCAACTGTGTGATGCTTTCATGTCAATATGGACCAAAATCTCTGAGGAATATTTCCAGTACCTTGTTGAATCTATGCCACGAAGGATTAAGGCAGTTCTGAAGGCAAAACTGGGTCCAACCCAGTACTAGTAAAGTGTACCTAATAAAGTGGCCGATGAGTGCATATAAAAACAACAAATGTAATGTCTTATTTTTGTACAATGTATGAATCTGCTCTAAGTTCGACAATAAATTTTCAATGTTCTACTGAAGAAAGAAAGTCACCTACTTAGTGGATAACCTGAGGTAAATTAACTAAAAGCTTTATTTTTGAACTTTGAACATGGCTCACCCAATCAAAAACATGTGCCAAAACTCTCCGCTCTCTAATTACAATTTAATCACATATGCTTTCTTATCAAGGAAGTAATGCTAAAAGCTGAATACCTGCAACAGTAAATCCAGCGTTGCATTGATCCCCACACCTTCTGGAAAGCACTGCAATGGTTTGGTTATCAAAAACAGATTAGTTTAAAATACGCTTTGTGATGTGGAAACAAAATTGATTCTCCAAGGAATAATTCTGAACGTACTTTCTTTTCCTGCAAGTAAAATGAAAGAGCGTGGAGACGGACGATGTCTTTTCGCAGGTCTTGATAACTGAAACGACAACGCTGACAGTTACAATAAACACCAACAAATAATCAAAATCGATTTCTCAGAAAACAAATCTCTAAAATACCTGGTGCAGTTGAGGTTTACGTGCTCCTTGTTGCACAGTCTTCGGATTATATTCAAAACCTGGATGAGAACAGATTGCTTTAAGATTTGCTTTATGTATTTTTTTAATCAGGTGTAGCTGCTAACATAAAAGTTAAGCTTACAGACTCATACTTTTCCTCCTCATCAGTGACTGGTCTTGTTGCTAGCTGTTTTTTTAAGCACAAAGAACAGTCAATAAAAGTACATTTTTGTTCTTTAATGAGAAATGTTAAATGTTACCTGTAATAAAGAAGTACAGATAATTGCTCCTGTCTCAACCAGCGGACTATGAGGAACACCTGCAAACACATTTTCTATAATGAAGTGTAAAATCTTTGAACTGAACATCAAACTCCTCTGGATAAGACTGAATATAAATCAAAGAAGCTGCAATGTGTGGAATGAACTGACTGAACTTACCTTGTTTGGTCAGGGTGAACAGAGACTCGTATTTGGAATATTCCTCCATTCCCACATATCTGTGCACGTAGTCTGAGCCCTGCTGATCCACTGCCAGGCCGTATATAAGAGGCCAGGAAATTTCTCCCAGAGTGCAAGGTTCAGCCCAGTCTCCTAAAGAAAGTCTAGCGTGCAGAAAACAAAGAATCTTATTTCAACTACAGTAGGCATCTTTAATTCATAATATATAAATAACAATAAAATAGAGTAACTAATATAGTTAATATATTTAATATATAGTATGAATGTTTTTATTTTAATTAAAATTTTAATTACAATTTAGTTAGGTACAGTACAAGTCAAAAATGAAACATTACCAGTTTATGAAGTCATAATTACTTTTTTATTAAGACATTTTTACTTTTTTTGTACAATTTTACTTTACTGTAGACATTTTTATGGTCATATTTACATTACTAAGACATTTTTGATACCCAAGTTTCTGCCATTCTACAATATTTAAATGGTTGGAGAGAGATGCTGTGACTGCTATAATTTATTAATTTTCTCCACCTTAATGTGCATATTTATACGTGTACAATCAGTTGAAACACATTTTATCTATTGTAAATTGAGAAATTTGCATGTATTTGACAGAAATTCAGAAATCATGAGATCAGATTATCAGATCAGCACGGTGTTTATATGGTTGTCAACCAATCAGGTGCTAAATTTTGCCTTTTTTATTTTATATTAGGACAGAAGACATCACAGATAGTACAGTAAAACTAATTGTATGAAATGTGTTATTACAAATATGGGTAACACTTTACAATAAGTTTGTTTTAGCTGTTTTACTAAAATGAACAATATATTTATCATAGTATTTTTTGTTCATGTTAACATTAATGAAAATACAGTTGTTCGTTATTAGTTCATGTTAACACATGGTGTATTAATAATGTTAACATGCATGACTTTAGATTTTAATAATGCATTAGTAAATGTTGAACTGCTGTACAAGTGTTTTTCATAATTAGTTAATTTTAGTAAATACATTAACTAATAAAACCTTATAGTAAAGTCTGACCAAAATTTTGTTACAAATATATTTTTAATAATGTTTATTATAATGATGTTTATGGAGTCAATCTAGGGCCATATATACTTGCAAAATAAAAGAAAGTTTTGCAAATAAAAAATATAGTATTGAGCAAAAAATAAAATAAATGCAAATCTAAAAAAATTGCAAAGCAGAAATACATTTTTGAGAAATAAAAATTGCAGAGTCAAGGAAACTTGGGCGTTTACTGCAGGCCCAGACCTACTGAACTATAAGACAAGCTCGGTGATACTGTGTCTCCAGGTGATGATGTTGCTTAAACAGAGGCAGTTTGGGCCTGCTGTAAACAGACAAGTTTCCTTGACTCCGCCCCCTTGTCAAATCAGGGCTACAAAACGTGCAGAAACGTGACAATCTAATCAAAATTTTGACAATCTAGGCGAAAAGTCTAAACCGCAGGGCGCAAAAGCATTAAGGGCATGTCCGAATCCATTTTTGCTATTTTAAGGACAGAAAAAAATCTAGCAGGGTTGAGCTTATTCTCTTAATGAGATATAGGTGTGCTTTGAGAATAAACCAATCAGAGTCTCATCTCCCATTCCCTTTAAAAGTCAGTTGTGTCACACATGGCGCATTTGCTATTTACATAGCGGACTTCATTCATTTTCTTTTTCTGATTAGTCCTTTTATTAATCCGGGGTCGCCACAGTGGAATGTACCACCGCCAACTTATCCAGAACGGATTTTCATTTGTAAACATATTTGCGCACCGCTGTACATCCTGCATGTTTTAAGCAATGTGTAAGCGAGGCGCACAACTAACGCACTCTACGCTGGACTTTCAGCTGGTCTATTGCACAGTCTATTTTAGTTCCTCAAAAAGTAAGGCTCCAACAATGCACCATAATACACCTCTTTTTCAGATTTTTATGGATTTGCTTTTTAAACAACGTGGCAGAAAATAGGAAAATTAAGGTTGCGCTGGTCTAAAAATAGCAACACGTCGGGGTGAACTCGTCTTGCGCCTTATTGCACCAGGTGAATGATAGGGCCTGTGAAGTACTGTTTTTATTGCAAACATTTTACTTTTTTATTTGCACTGCTTGATTTTTATTTGCAGTTCTCTTTTGTTTGCAAATTTCATTTTTATTTCTTAAAACTTAATTTACCCTTCTCAATTCTTTATTTTTGTTAGCAAAATAAATATTTATATTTCTCAAAAATTAAGTTTCTCTGTGATTTTTGGAGATTTAGATTTATTTATTTAGTTCTACTCAATACTACTCTTTTGTTTGCAAAACTATCTTTTATTTTGCAAGTGTATATGGCCCTAGATTGAATCCATAGGATGTTATAATCTTTTTTGTTGTTTCTTTAAAAAAAAAAAAAAAAAAAAAAAAACATTTGTCAAAAGAATTGCCATTAAACAATAATTGGCAGACCTCAATAATGGACCCCCTAAGGCGAAAAAGTGGCCCCCTGTTGAAAACCTCTTAACAAACCAATTGAACTGAATTGCTGTGTGAAAGTTTACCTTTGCCCATCTACAGTACACACCGAAATGCCCCATTTTGTGCCACTGTCTCCTACATCTTCTTTCTCCTGTCCAGAAATACACAGGATATGAGTCACGTTGTGATATTTTCCACAAATCAATCAATTAGGAAAAAAAAGACAGTGCGACTTTAAACCTTATTACACGTCTCTTTCACCAGACTTGTTATTTAAAACGAACAACAACAAGCGTAAATGGATTTGACGCACCTTCACAGAGGACAGTTGTTTGCATTTAATAAACAGCTTTTGTGTTTCCTCTGCAAAAGTCGAGAAATCAGGAATGACAAATCGCCCCTGCAGTGCCTTCAGGATGAACGACACAAAGCCTGTCACGCACCTGCAAAATTTTCAGAAATCAGGCATATTAGTTGCACAAAAGATTAAGGGTCATTTGTATTTTAAATAGGTCCTCTAATGCTTCTTCATTTCAGAGATCATAGAGCATGATAAGGCTGTGTTTCCACCTAATATATTCAATGTCCAATTATATCTAAATCATACGAAAACATATGATTTTAAATAGGAGGTGTGGCACCCAACCCCGGCCCTAAACCCATCTGTCATTGGGTGATGGCCAAATGGTACTAAATTGTATGGATTAGATTGTACGAATTCATACGAATTAGCCACTAAATCAAAAAGATATGAATAATAATAAGCTATATTCAATTGGGTTTAGATTTTAAGACTGTTTGTTTAAGACTGTTCGTTTAAAAACTATAATATTTAATAAACAAACATATACAATTTAAAGGATTTCCTTATGTATAATTTATAATCAGCCTGCGGTACCTGTCCCGTTATGTTCTGGTGGTCCTGTGTTTGTTGTGTCATGTGACATCCCAGTGTGCTATTCCTTGTGCTTCTGTGATTATCATGTTCTCCATTGTTCTGTTTTCCCCACCGGCTAGTTTCATGAGTTTCACCTGTGTCTGACCCTTGTGTGTAATTAATTCAATGATGTCCTGTGTATTTAAGCTCCTGTGTTCAGTTCAATCCTTGTCTTGTCTTAAATTGTTATCACTCGATGTCTGTCTTGCATTTATATGTTCCAGTGCCTTTAGTAAGTGTCTTTGTTAATAAATACGTGTTAATAATTCCTGCGATCCAGTGCATCTCTTTATGGAGAGTGAGCATAATAGTACTACACAGTAAAGTACTGGTGCACTTTCACACACCACACCGTAACTAAGGTTGGGTATAGGTTTGGTTTGTTGAATGATACCGGTGCCAAATTGATATTTTTAAAATGTATAGGTGGCTAAATGATCATACCTGAACTGAAAATGGCTTTTGAAAACAATTCTTTAAATTAAACTATGTTAAAAGTTTAAAATGTACATGATGTAAATAAAGAGACACATGTATATCCAGAGCCTCTGCTTCAAATGCAACCAAGAAGTGGAATAAAATGATGTAATGAAAAAAAAAGTGCCTCGTCTGTGCTTTTTATTGATTTCCAATCAATAATTAACCAATCAGAAAAGAGCAGGCTTTCAGATAAGAGGGACTTACAGGGACCAGATCCTTGAACTAATTGTTTAAGACACTTTGAATAAAATCTGAAGCTGCAATGTATATTATAAGAAAAAATTAATAAATTGACACTGAAAATATATTTATGATTCATGTAAATACAGTTATGTTCATAAATATTTGGACATTAACACAATTCTTAAATTTTTGGCTCTATACACCAACACAATGGATTTGAAATTGAACAAACAAGATGTGCTTTTACTGTAGACAGTCAGCTTTATTTTGAGGGTATTTACATCCAAATTAGGGGAACGCTGTAGGAATTACAACAGTTTGCATATGTTCCTCCCACTTGTTAAGGGACCAAAAGTAGACAAAATAATACTCATTAATCAAACTTTCACTTTTTAATACTTGGTTGCAAATCCTTCTAGTCAATTACAGCCTGAAGTCTGGAATGCATAGGCATCAACAGATGTGATGCTCTAGTGGTGGTACTCTGCCAGGCCTCTACAGCAACTGTCTTCAGTTCCTGCTTGTTCTTGGAACATTTTCCCTTCAGTTTTGTCTTCAGCAAGTGAAATGCATGCTCAATCGGATTCAGGTCAGGTGATTGACTTGGCCATTGCATAACATTCCACTTCTTTCCTTTCTCTTTGGTTGCTTTTCAGTATGCTTTGAGTCATTCTCCATCTGCATTGTGAAGCACCATCCAATAAATTCTGAAGGATTTGGCTTAATATGAGCAGAAAATATATCCCGAAACACTTCAGAATGCATCCTGCTGCTTTTGTCAGCAGTCACCACATCAATAAATACAAGAGAACCAGTTCCATTGACAGCCATACATGCCCACATCATGTCACTCTTACCCCCATGCTTCATTGCTTAGGATCATGAGAAGTTCCTTTCCTCATCCATTCATCCTTTCCCATCACTTTGATGCAAGTTGATCTTGATCTCATCTGTTCATATGCACTGTAAATCTTTTTTAGAACTCTAATCTGGCCTTCCTGTTATTGAGGCAGACCAATGGTTTACATCATGTGGTAAACCCTCTGTTTTCACTCTGGTGTTGTCTTCTCTTGATTATTGACTCTGACACACATACATTTACCTCCTGGAGAGTGTTCTTGATCTGGTCAACTGTTGTGAAGGGTGTTTTCAAAGAAATCTTTGTTCATCCACCACAGTTGTTTCCATGGTCTTCCGGGTCTTTTGGTGTTTCTGAGCTCATTGGTGCAGTCTTTCTTTTTAAGAATGTTTTAAACTGTTGTTTTGGCCATGCCTAATGTTTTTACTGTCTTTCTGATGGGGTTGTTTTATTTTTTCAGACTAATGATGGCTTGCTTGACTGATAGTGACAGCAATTTAAATCTCATCTTGAGAGTTGACAGCAACAGTTTCTAAATGCAAATAGCACACTTGAAATTAACTCTGGACCTTTTATCTGCTCATTGCAATCGGGATAGAGGCAATCAAGCACACATGGCCATTGAACAGCTTAGAAGCCAATTGTCTAATTACTTTTGGTTTCTTAACAAGTGGAAGGCACGTATGCAAACTGTTGTAATTCCTACAGCGTTTACTTGATTTGGATGTAAATACCCTAAAATTAAAGCTGACAGTCTACAGTTAAAGCACACCTTGCTCATTTAATTTCAAATCCATTGCGTTGAAGTATAGAGCCAAAAATGTAAGAATTGTGTTAATGTCCAAATATTTACGGACCTAACTGTATATTATATATATATTATATCATTAAAAACAAAAATAGAAACTTGGCAGATTAAAGGGATAGTTCACCCAAAACTAAAAACTCTGTCATAACTTTCTCATCATTGTTTCAAATCTATTTGAGTTTTTTTTTTTATTCTGTTGAACACAAAAAAGACATGCTAAAGAAAGCTGCAAATCATAGGAAAAACAAATCATCTTAAAGGTTTTGAATCACTTGACGGAGAGTAAATAGTGAGTGCATTTAAATTTTGGTGTAATCCATCCCTTACATGTAAAACTTGACCTGTGACTTACCTGTGAAACATGCTCCTGTCAACCGTTCCATCCGCTTCCTGAAGTTTTCTCATCAGGCTGTAGCAGTCTTTAATCCGTGGATCTGTTCGGATAATCCCTGAGCTCCACAGGGCCTGTCGAGACAACAAACATATGACATTCTGCACTATTCAACATAAACAAATATTAATAATGATCAATACCTCAAAAAACTGATTGCAGTTAACTCTTCCTCCAGAGGCGAAACTATCAAACAGCACATCAGCAGCCCTTTTGGAGAACAACGGGTAAGCAGCTTGTAATGTATGTAAAGAAAATGCTAATTTGTAAATCTGAGACTCACACTTTTTTCTTAAAATGTCCTTGATGGGTGTCTTGTCGGCCCAAGTGTTGCCACGCTTGGCCGGCATGAAGTTTTTCATGCTCTGGAACAGTCCGTTTTGTGCCCCCATTGCTTATAAAAGATGGCATGCCTGAGGAAAAGAATGGGCATTTTCCAGAGCACAAAATGAAAAATAAATTAGTACTTCCTGAAGGAAAAACAGTTCTTGCCTGGCAACTAAATATTACTGTTGAAAAGTTTGAGGTCAGTTTTTGAAGTCACTTGTCTCCAACTGTTGGCACATTAAAAAAAAAAAAAAAAACTAGGCACACAATGCTCTGTGTGAAACAAACACTCAGCGCTTCGTCATGCTGCTGGCATTCTAAAAAAAGTAGCACTCTCAGAGAAAACAACTGAAATGCTACGGACAAAATGCTTTGATACTGAACATGTACTAATTTATACTTATTAAAAAATATCTCACTGACACCAAACCTTTGGCATGCTAGTGTGCATATAATATTTAAAAATAATAATCGAATTCAAAATACGCTTACATTGACACTATATCGCCAAATGTTTACATGCACATGACCTTTAATGGTATCTTTATCAGTACGGTTTTAAATGGAGTTAACCCACAATTTGCAGATAACTGCTTCAACTCTTCTGTGAAGGCTTTCCACAAGGTTTAGAAGTCTGTTTATGTACATTTTTGACCATTTTTCTTGAGCACATTTATGAGGTCAGGCTAACAGGCTCTAATTTATCCTAAAGGTGTTCAATCGGGTTGAGGTCAGGACTTTGTGCAGGCCAGTAAAGTTCCTCCACACCAAACTCACTCACCCATATTTTTATGGACCTTACATTGTGCACTGCGATGTGCTTTGAGGAAAAAATGGCCTCTGACTTAAAAGTTCTAGTAAATATGGACTTAGAACTTCTATGTTAAGCTGCTTTGACAAAATAAAAGCGCTAAATAAGTAAACGTAAATTGAACTGAATAGACTTGAATTAATGTGCTTAAGATATTCAAAGTAAGGCCCTGTTCACTTCATACTCAGTTTTTGCTACTCTAACCTTCAGAAATGTTCACAATTATTTTTTATCAACAAAATATTGTTTCTGAAATGGTTGGTTATTTTTGTTAACAGTGTTCTACTAGTATGGTATAACCACAACCAAATGAACTAGAAAATGCTGTATGATAAAGTTTACATTACTGAAAATTTTAATTGTTCTGCCTTGATCTCCAGCGAATGTAAGACAAATCAGGAAAAATAACTTTAAATATTAATAAAGTCACATTTGCACAATGCTGTATTATCTACAAAGCAAGGCTAGAATGCTGCTCATATGCCAAGCAATTAATTGCAGGCATTCGGCACTTAAGGTTAGAGGTGCAGAACAAACACTGAGCAGACTGTTGGAGGAATATTAAAACACTGCAGCCTCCTGAGAGCTGAAATCATTTAAACAAAAGGAAAGCAAAGAGTACAAAGGCATACATAAAAGTGAAAGGGAATTAACAGGAGGAGAAACGTGTGCCACTGGAGATAAATGTGAGCATTGTTTCACCTGTAGAGCCTGGTGAGACGTAATTGACTGGCCTCTGCTGTGGAAAGGTATTTCTTGGCACATGTTGAGGAATGTTCCCTGCGGATTTAGTTTCCTAGTAACATAAAAAAAAACATGTACTGAAAGCTTGAATGAGCAAAACTAGCTTTATATAGACTGTTATTATGTATAAAAAATAGCATCAAGCAAACATTGCATTTTTTTTTTTTTTTTTTTTTGGATGAATGCTTTAACGTAGGCTGAAATGCGAAGTGTGCTTTGCTTGAATTAGTTTATCTACACTGTTTGAAGGCTGATGAAATACAACATTGAACATAATGCTGGAGCCAGACTTGTCTTTGAAGTCTAACTAATTGCAGGTGTTTAGGACTGTGGGGAAACATATTGAGACACATTACTTTGTCATGTCAGCATGCTAGCTAACAACTGTTAGCCTCCGGCAGAGACAACATCTGCGGGGCTGGGTTTTTATTACAGGTGAAGTGAAGAACTTGTCTGTGTTTGTAGACGTACTATGCTGTGCAGCACATAAAAGTGTCTATAATGACCAGCACACTGTGATGAAGGGAATATTCTGAATTTAAACAATGTTCAAGAGTATTTGTGGAATAGTGCATATTAAAGGCACAGTATGTAATTTTCACTGCTAAATCATGGGAGTTACATTCTTTATTTCATCCTAGTGTATCATGCAACACTAAAAAAAAAAATATTTGCTGCTTGCTTAAACCTCTTATTTAAAACTATTTGAAATAACATAGTTTGGTAAGATTTTTGGAAAATTAATTGTTTTAAAAATGATTAAGTTAACTAAATTAATTTGTGTTGGGATAACATGAAGGAATTGTCTAAAACCTAGCATTTTTTACAGTATATGGGATTATCATGGCACTATGAAGCAGAGTAGCCTAAGGCTAAAGGCTGTTGAAAACTGCTGTAGCAATTGCTGATGAGAATTGTGTCATGAAAGCAGCAGAGCTTTTATTATGCCACAATCGACTGCTTCCGGTTCTTCCAGTCATGATCATGTGGAGAGGAAGCAGTGCTGGGTTATCATACTAAATACATTTTAAGGTTTTGTTTTAATGCTGCTCTGTGCAGTTATTAAAACACAACATACTAAAGCATATTTGGGGTTTCCCTGTTTTCTATAAAAAGAATGCAGAAATCGAGAATGTATGACAGCATAGAGAAGATTTTTTAAGCACATTTCTTAACATAATAGTTTTAATAACTCGTTTCTAATAACTGATTTATTATCTTTGCCATGATGACAGTAAATAATATTTGACTAGATCTTTATTCAAGACGCTTCTATACAGCTTAAAGTGACATTTAAAGCATTAACTAGGTTAATTAGGTTAGGCAGGTTAGAGTAATTAGGCAAGTTATTGTATAACAATTCTTTGTTCTGTAGACTATCGAAAAAAATATTAAAGGGGCCAATAATTTTGACCTTAAAAAAGGCTTTTAAAGAAAGTAAAACTCCTTTTTTTCTAGCTGAAATAAACAAATAAGACTTTCTCCAGAAGAAAAAAATATTATCAGGCATAATGTGAAAATTGCCTTGCTCTGTTGAACGTCATATGGGAAATATTTATAAGAAAAAGTTCATAGTGGGGCTAATAATTCTGACTTCAAATGGATGGATGTATTATATCATGTTTGCTTTACAAAAAAACAAAATTCTGATGCAGCCCCTATGGCACAGGACAGTAAATTTGACGTTATTCTTTCCTCTGGCTGTTGTCATCAGACTCACACTATTTTATTTTCTTTTTCTGAAAGTATTCATCAATGTAGATTTTTTTTCTTTTATTATTTGAGCAAATAAGATTGTAAAAAAATGTTTTGTTGTTTTCTCCCATTCACTGCACTCTACGTTTTCCCAACTATGACGACTTTCGCTACTGAGAAACCCAGAAATGTGAAAGGGTCTATTACTAATCTTAACAATAATGAATAATTGTTAACCAATATTTTAATGTGTTTCAAAATATTTTGTTGTGCTTTTATAATTTTAACTGTAGTGTTCAGAAATAAACTTTACTCATATTCCAAATCAACCAAATGACATAATTACACAGTGTATAAAGATATACTGTTAGTCTATTTTATAATTGCATTCATAAAAACAATATTATAATGAATGTGATGTAATGTAAATGTAAAGGGCGACACGGTGGTTCAGTGGTTAGCACTGTCGTCTCACAGCAAAAAAGTCACTTATTCGAGTCCTGGCTAGGTCAGTTGGCATTTCTGTGTGGAGTTTTGTATGTTCTCTCTGTGTGCATGGGTTTCCTCCAGGTGCTCTGGTTTCCAAAGACATGTGCTATAGGTGAATTGAATAAACTTAATTGGCTGTAGTGTATGTGTGTGCGTGTGAATGAGTGTTTACAGGTGTTTCCCAGTACTTGGGTGCGGCTGAAAGGGCATCCCCTGCGTAAAATATATACCAAAATAGCGGGCAGTTTATTCCACTGTGGTAACCCCTGATAAATAACGAACTAAGCCGAAGGAATATGCATGAAGGAATGTAAACGTAATTGTATAATAAATGTAAAACAATAGTAATAATTAATGTAATGCATATGCATTTTCGCTTAATTGAAACTAATAATCCAATGAAGTGTCCAAAAACATTACAGTCAGTCTGCAATTATTTATAAATCTATTTACTAAAGCTCTTTTATATACATTCTTTTTAAAGACCTTTTCTCAATATTAATTTTTATTGCCAAAAATCGGTTGCAATATTAATCAAAACTAACATTTTCAATACACAAGCTTTAATAAAAAGATAAGCTTCAACTTTCACAAGGATCAAAAAGGGATATTTCACCCAAAAATAAATACTACATTATTTTCCAAACCCATTTTAAATGTTTCTTCTGAAAACAAAAGAAGATGTTATGAAGAATGTCAACTTCTATTGACTTCCATAGAAGGAAAACATACTATTGAAGACAATGGCTGCTGTTTTCCATTATGGTTAAAAACATACATAAATAAAGCATACATAAAGCTTTGGAAGTGTGTCAGAATATCAATTTTTAGGGTGAACTGAAATCAGTCATTCATTTTCTTGTCGGCTTATTGCCTTTATTAATCCGGGATCGACACAGCGGAATGAACCACCAACATATCCAGCACATTTTTATCCAGCGGATGCCCTTCCAGCCGCAACCCATCTCTGGGAATTTGGGTAAACTGTTTAACTTTAAACTGGAGATACCCAAACTTCTCTAGTGCAAACTCAGCAGATGTCTGACTTTACAAAAGCAGCAGCAGCACATGAGCACAGGTGTAGTGGAGTGTTTTAATAACGCCGCCTCCAGCTTTTTGTTTTATGATTTCTGCAGGACTCAGCATGTACCTTCAACTTCAGTGGCTCCGTCAGCTCTCCAATCTCTGAAGGACAGAATGAAAAAAAAAAACACAGCATGAGAAAAATCCTCCTGGCTGATTTTCGACAGAGGTTTAAAGATTAAGATTAGTGCTTATTTGTGAGTGCGAGATTTAAGAGGGATTTTGAAAAGTTGAAACGTACTAAGCATCGCCTCAGCAGAGAATGTATATCAGGCTATTTTGGAAATCTAGGACACCAAGTTTTTACGAGTTTAAGACATTGTTTGTGTTGTTCTTTCGGGTCCAAACCTCAGCGAATTCCACACAATAACAGTGAAGGCTAAAACATATGAAACGGTTTAGCTGTGGATAGTGGACAGATGCAGTTTGTCTATTTTTACTCCAAATCTTCCATTCAAAAAAAAAAAACAATAAACCTTAAAGGGAAAGATGCCAAAACAATAAAACCTCTGTTATAGTTTAATGCACTGTTGTCATTATAAAATCTAATTATTTTCTGTCTTCTGTGGAAAGTAAAATGAAAAAGTTTGCCTGTAAAATTCAAGACATTATATAATACAAATATGTAATCTAGCTGTATTTAAATTCATCACATACAAGTTTAAAGAGATAGTTCACACAAAAATGACAATTCTGTCATCATTTAGACCAGTTGTCACAATGCTTTTTTCTTCTGTAAAGCACAGGAAGATATTTTGAAACATTTTGTAAACCGGTAGCAACTGACTTCCATAGTAATTGTTTTTCCCTTCTATGAAGGGGTTTGGAACCACTTGAGTGTGAGTAAATGGTGAACATTTTCATTTATTTCGGTAAACTATCTGTTTAAATAAATGTTAGTTTACCAAAAATGCTTGGCCATATATCGTCTCCTTCGAATTATGAAAGGTTCTATCTGACATTTTTGTCAAAATTGAGTTGTTCACATATTCTTATTAAATGACAACTTATTTACATTGTTTTTTTTTTTGTCATTTCTTATTTACTTTGTCATTTCAACCAGAAAGAAACACAAAATCAGAGTCGACTAAATATTGCCGCATCACACAAAATTGAGAAGAAACCTGAAACTGTAAAGATGTGTATAGATGTGATGATTTAGAAGCATTTTTGACATTAAGATGAAATGCTAAATTTTAAATTGTTTAAATTTTTAATTGTTTAAAAAAATTGTATATATTACATGTAAAATATATTTTCATTTGTGTAAATATAGTCCAAATCAGTCTTTAAATTTGATATTAAGCCTTAAAGGGCAAATACTTAATTTAAATCATAGGACATATAAGTCAAAAAATATAATTCATATAAAGCATATCATTCTACAAATATTAACACATTAATTACCTAAAGTTACCATCTGCACTGGACAAAATATTTAGTACAGCCTTGCATGCTTAATTTGAACAAGAAAAAATATTCATTCTGAAACAGTAAAGATTTTCTTTCATTTTCTTGTCTGCTTAGTGCCTTTATTAATCTGGGGTCGCCACAGCGGAATGAACCGCCAACTTATCCAGCAAGTTTTTTACGCAGCAGATGCCCTTCCAGCCACAACCCATCTCTGGGAAACATCCACACACACTCATTCACACACACACACAAACACACACTACGGACAATTTAGCCTACCCAATTCAACTGTACCGCATGTCTTTGGACTGTGGGGGAAACCAGAGCACCCGGAGGAAACACGCGAACTCAGGGAGAACATGCAAACTCCACACAGAAACGCCAACTAAACGGGGCTTGAACCAGCGACCTTCTTGCTGTGAGGCGAAAGTGCTACCCACTTGGCCACTGCATCGCCAAAACAGTAAATAAATGTTTTAAAATGCAAAATTGTTACTTTCTCAAGCATCAACATATCGTCAAAACACCAATTATTATTTTTGTGATTGTATTTCTTGAAAAGTAATGCTTCAGTTATTGATCTGCCAGATAAAACTTTATAACTCCAAGCCAAAAATGACTTTTTAGACTGAGAAGGTTCTGCATGTCTGCATTTGCCCTGTTTGTTTTACCACAATTTGCAAATTTAAGAGAATTTTGATAGTTTACATTTAGAGTACATTTAGGGTCCTGAAGCTCAATGTCTCAAAATCATTTAGAACGCAAAACTTGTCATACTTGACTCTCATAATGAATTTGTGTCTGTTTTGACCAGTAGAGATAATTAAAAAATCTAAAAAGTGTAGTTTTCATTAAGACAACAAAATGTTGAAAATGCTTTTAAGGCCACCAAATTATAAATAGATTATCTGTGAAAATATGTTGTGTGTTACACTTGGGTTTTTAGGATCTTGGTATCAGGAATAAACAAAGACAAATTTATTAGCCATCGTTTGAAATTTTGCTGTTTAACAAAGAGATTTTTTTTAACACAATTTGAAACATAATAGTTTTAATAACTAATTTCTGATAACTCATTTATTTAGTCTTTTCCATCATGACAGTACATAGTATTTTACTAGTTATTTTGCAAGATACTAGTGTTCAGCTAAAAGCGAATTTAAAGGCTTAACTTATAGGTTATCTAAGTTAATTAGGCCTTGGACAACAGGTTTGTAGAAACTCAAAACATTATATTACTTAAGGAGCTAATGAAATTGGCCAAAATAGTTTTATGAAATGTAAAATTGCATTTATTAGCCAAGCTAATATAAATTACACTTTCTCATTAAGAAGAAAATATATTACAGCTAATTTCCTTGCTCTGTTAAACATTGTAAATATTTGAAAAAGAATAACAATTTCACAGGAGCTTTATACTATATTTGTAAAATAGCTATAAAATATCTATGACACACTAGTTACTGATAAGTTACAACACAGATTTACAATTTAATTAACATTTATAAAACTTTATTAAAATGTGGTAACCTTATTCATTTAGCCAATAAAGAGACAAATGAAAGTCAGTTTGATATAGTGTTGTCTTGGACCCCATTCATTTTCATTGTATTGCGAAAAACAGTCAAAACAGTCTTTAAAAGACCCTCCGTTTAAAAATGTTGACTAAATTGTGCCAATGATAAGCGCAAATACACAAAATGTCTGCTGCCATTTTTCTAAATAAATGCTAAAATATTTCGCTCCACATCATATTGCACATGAGCTCTGAGAGCTACTTGTGTCAGGAAGCTGATTTTGTGCCCAGTTTGGGTGGTATATGTCAGACGAAGCTATGCAGACGGTGCTTCCACCCCTCCGGTTGAAAGTAGAAAGTAACTTAATTGGAAACCCACAAAACATAAATATGGTTTATAAAACAAAGCATGTGGTCTTTATTAAAGTCTGGAGAGCTTTTTCTCCTTGCCACAAAGTCTCATAGGGGATTAAAGCATGTAGTGGGAATTAAAGCCAGTTTGTATTGTGAAAATAATATTTAAAATTGATATAAATCATTTTTATTTGTTAATCAGGTTAAAAGCCAAACTCGGAAAAAGATTTTTGTTGCTTGCTCAGACTACTTATTTAAAATGAGCTAAACAATTAAGTTACTTTTTTTGTAATCACTTTTTTGGGGTTTTCACCTCTATTGGATGTAGGAAAGTAGAGAGTATTGACAGGAAAGCATGGGGAGTAGAGAGAGGAGAAGGATCGGCATAGGACCGTGACGCAGGAATCGAACTCGGGTCACCGTGAGCACCGGAGCCCATGTGTCGACGCACTAACCACTATAACTCTGGTGCCAACTGTACAATTAAGTTAACTTAATATATCTGTGTTGGGGCGATATGAAGGAATTATGTGGAAACCTGCATTCTTTTACAGTTCATATTAAACTTGACATAGATAAAAAGATGGCCAGTAGAGATAGGCTTCATAATTTACAACTTATTTACAACATATATTCATACAACTTGATTTAACTTTCAACATTTTATTACATAATGATACTGATTTTTCTTTCTGAAAGCATATAAGTTGGTATGTTAATAAAAAAAAACAGTATAATGTCTTTATCACACTGTACTTCTGTTCCTCACAGTGTCAATATCATTCATGTCAAGAATTAAATACGGTGCAGCATGAATAAGGTCTATTAATGGCTTTTGTGATTTAAGTACAGAACAAACTAACTTTCAGTGCACTTAAACAATCTATTATTTCATAATAAATCATCAGCTTTTCAAGATTTGAGCAATGTCCACTTTTACAGTATCAAGCCGTCCTAATATTAAAAAACTGTAAAAAAATACAGTATAAATATGTGGCTCTGTAAGTAATAAATAACTATAATACCTTAGTAAAAATTATATGTGCATTTACATATGTTGTTTATGTAATGTTTATGTCATTTATTGTAAAAATATATATTGAAGTTTAACAACAAGTTTACATTAAGACATTAAATTTCATTCATTCATTCATTCATTTTCTTTTCAGCTTAGTCCCTTTATTAATCTGGAGTTGCCACAGCAGAACCACCAACTTATCCAGCACGTTTTTATGCAGCGGATGCCCTTCCAGCCACAACCCATCCATCACTGGGAAACATCCACACCCACACACTACAGAAAATTTAGCTTACCCAATTCACCTGTACCGCATGTCTTTAGGCTGTGGGGGAAACCAGAGCACCCAGAGGAACCCAGGCGAACGCAGGGAGAACGTGCAAACTCCACACAGAAACGCCAACTGACCCAGCCAAGGCTCGAACCAGCGATCTTCTGGCTGTGAGCCGACAGCATTACCTACTGCACCACTGCTTCACTGACATTAAATTTCAATCAAAATATTTTAGATTGTTATAATTCTGTTCTGTTTCAAGAACTTTGTTATTATTCTTGTCATACCAATATTCTTGAGATTAAACAACAATTTATGAAAAAGCTTGGACTCAATTTAATAACCATTTCATTTATCCCAGTACAGAGGTCTTCAGTGTAACGTTCATTTCAGATTTTTATTGAATAATTGATTATTCAAATGTGCCTTGTTTAACAGCTCATTAAACTCGACACAAATAAAAATGGAAAACTTCTAGCAATTGGGGCTGTTCATTTACAAAGAAATAAAGTTTTAAGGTCATGAGATAGCATTTTTTTTTTTTTTGGCAAATGTTTTAAGACTAACACTGCTACTGTATGTGCCTATGTTTTTTTTTCATTTTTTTTTTCATTGTGACACCCTTAAATTTTCAGTCACACTCATCACCACGTGACTGACACATACAGTAACTAACATGAGCACACTGAGGCACAAAATGGCAGTCGCAAGATCAGAAATATTTAAAAAATATATATATTTTTTTGCTTGACTGGCATATTAAAAACTGGTCGACTAGTGAGATTAGAGCTTTTGTTCATGTGACGTGAGCTGCTTAATTTACTCCAAAACACCGACTTGGTGGCACTCAAGCACAAAACAGTCTAGCCATCACACAGGAATCTCAAATCAAATAGGATTCAATGGTGAGTTCACTGACTTGACTTTTTTTCATGACTTGTAACTTTCCCCCACATACTGTTGGCGAGGTGATTGTGTGCAGTACAGAAGTGACAAACATTACAAAAAGCTCTGGACGTTTTTTTCTGTGCAACTAGTGAGCATAAACTTGAACAGCGCCATCTTGTGTTTTAGATTTTTATTAAGCGCCATCTAGTGACAGAAATTGATTTTTTTTGCATGGTCACTCGAGCTAAGGCTGATTTATACTTCTGCACCTTCGCGTGGGCGCATAGTCCTTGCTGTGTCTGACATGCACCTCTCAAAAAAATTAACTACACATTGCAATGACGCATATCTTAAGGTCTGTGATTAGTTGGCTTGGTACTGGTGATGAGTGTGGGCTAGTGATGGGCAGATGGCGGTTATATCCACAAACGCTGCGGATAATCCGCGGGTCGAGCAGGTAGGGTAATGAAAAAATACACTATTTTTAATTGCAGGTCAGTTGCGGGTGGACGTAGCGGGACATGGCAGTGGACCAGCGAAAAAGCAAAGAGTGGGCTTTGCAGAATGGGAAGATTCCCAAAATAATGGATGAAGTGCAAGAGTAGCCTACTGTTCAAAGTTTCAGTTAGAGGAGTCGTCAAAGGAAAATCTGCTATCGTTCTGGGAGAAACAAGATCGCTTATTTCCACGACTGCAGCGCCTTACGAGGAGAATCTTGTGCATTCATACAACAAGCGGTGCGAGCAAACGCTCATTTAGTGCAGCTGGCCGCGTTTAGGAGGCAAGGCAGGATCACCCGAATCCAGGCACAGCAGATGCTATTCTGTTTTTGCACATTGGAAAGAAAAAGGCCAAGTAAACATAACAGCTGCCGTTTAGGCTGAAGTGGCACCCTTTTGTTATCTTATTCCTGTATCTGAAAAAGCTAGAATGTCTTATTTTTACTTTCTGTATCTCTTTGAAAATGAAGAAAATGTCGTCTAAAGCCAAACTTTTGTTTTTACAAATAAATGTTCATTTAAAACGTTTACGATTAACATATTACTTTACTATCAGAGATATGCAGTTTATAGCTCACTGAATCTACTGTTAATATCCACGGTGATCTATCATCATGCCTAAAACAAAGAATTCAATTATTAAAGTGACGATCGGGTGCGGGTCAGGTGTGGATATATATACCAGGTAAAACTATATGTGTGGTCGTGTGGCGGCTGGATGTTTAGTATGAAGCTGTGGATTCGAGTGTCATTTCAGCTGATCCGCGCATATCTAGTGTGGGCAGTGCTGAGAGCCGCGAGCCCAATGGAGTGAGTGTTTCAAGTGTCAAGTTGCGTGAAGGAGCTCCAGATGGATTTTGTTTGGTGCTTACCTTATTATTAAACTTGGTGCACGTCCGCCGGTTCCCGCCTCTGAATGAGAGAGTTTGAGCTACTTGTAGCATTCAGAAAAAGCAAAACAACTGTGACGGAGGAACCTAAAACCTACTGCCAGCTTGCTTTTTAGAAGAGTTATTGCAGAGCAACACAAACAACACAGAACTATAAATGCACAACTATGTCCAAGGCAGGCGTCGTGGGTCACGCCAACCACTAGACGCAGAAGTATAAATCAGCCTTAATGGACAGTGAAAATCACTTGGTTATGAATGTCGAACAATATTTCGAAAAATGCTGATAATCGTCCCAGTGTTCGTGAGATTTTAGCGACAAATTCATGAATGTAAAAAAAAATAATGTCAAAATGTGCATGTGGCCTATATTATGTGTTCAGTTAATGGAAAATGAGTGTGTACTTGACATCCAAATCAATGGTGGACCACAGGATTATGTGTGTGTAGATATATAGTGACTTCACCACCTATTGGCCTGGCATACATAATACCGCATTTTAGTCTTTCTGTGGATCGATGTTATCAGTAATTGTTTTAACAATGTCTTGTGTGACTGAAACTTTCCAAAAATACGAAGACAAAACATTTTTAGTACATAAATGTAAAAAACACTTGAATATCGCTTCAGTCTGGTTCAGTGACTTCTGTTGTCTTTAAGCTATTTGGTTACTTTTCTGTTATATTCATTTTAAGATTTTATTTAATACTGTACCTTTTTGGGTGGGTGGGTGTGTGGGGGGGGTTGATAATAAAATGGCTGAAATTTCTTCTTTTTCATCATATACTTTTTCAGTACAAAAACTCTATAGTGTTATTTTTATAGAACTTACTCAGTATTTTTAAGTGCATAACTGTCCCCCCCTCAAAAAAATCAGCGTACATGACAGTTCTTAGAATTTGGAGTGTACTTTTCAGCCACGGTAGACCCAACACATGCCACATCACTTCTCTCCAGAACACACCCACTGCCTCTGCACATTTTTTACAGCCCAGATGTTGACCACAAGCCCAGTTAAATGAGAGCGTCTACCGAACTGTCCCATTCATTTAGCCCTAGTCTCACAGATTTCCTACAGAACTGGTGTCTGATCAGTGGTGGTGACATGTGGAATGTGAGGCGGAGAGGATCCATGATCCAAACAAAATGCAAACACGTTCCCAGAGCTACTGTGATGCCAAAACCAGGGTCACCGTGAGTGGAAATCACCAAATTGTACAGTATTTATTTTTGTACCTCTTGTGTCGTCCTCTTTATTCGGCTCCAGCAGTTTGTTTCCATCCAGGCCTCCATAGCGCTTTCTCCATTTACGTCTGAGAGATGGTGTTCTCTGAAAACTACAAAAGCATTTTATTATTATTATTATCTCACATCTGGGGGGGTTTTAATCACATATATATGTTTATGCATTTGCTAAAAACCTAAAGTCTTCTTGACAGATTGCCATAGGGAAACTAAACACCAGCAATGTGCATGAAATTGTAATTCAGTGGATTTTGTAGATACACTGAAACAAGACCTCGGGATCAAAGCAAGTGTGTGTGCTTGTGTGTGTGTGTGTAAAGACAAGTCTAGTCTTGAAGAGCTGAGAAAAACACAATCAATCGTCAGCTCAGATGAGAGAATGCATTTTATTTAAATTTAATAATTTATTAAGAGACCAGTGTTGGTTTTACAACCCTGAATTAAAAAGAAATATAGTTCAGATTTCCATGTATGCATTTCAAACACTCCTTTTTATAAGTCTTCAAGAGTTCTTACCACAGGTAGGGATTTTCCTCTGCTTCTTGGTTTAAGCTGTTCTCCATGATAAAGCCGTTCTTCACTGTCGACTGGGAGTTTTAGGGAATCCAGATGGTGTGTTTGTGCTGCATGTGGAGATGAAGATGGGTCTCTTTGGCAGCTGTGTTTGAGCTCAGTCTCTGTGTGAACAGCCAGTTTGTGGCTGGATGAAAATAGGAGGAACTTAACTGCATCTTGGAGGAGGGATCTGTGTTCTGGAAAAGTATACTTTAAATAACAGGAGAAACAAACAGACCAGAAAACAAAATAATATAATATAATATAATATAATATAATATAATATAATATAATATAATATAATATAATATAATATAATATAATATAATATAATAATCAATACTATTAGTAATCATATATAGTGTCTTTAGTATAATCTTTTAATAATATTTATTAAATGTATCATTTATTGTTGTTACTTTTGACAATTATTACAACTGAAAATGCAAATAAAGTAGTAATGAAAAAGTACAATAATTAGTGAATTTTGCTATTGTGTTATTTGTATTATTAAAAGTACTAAATGTAACACTTTTTCTAATCTAGACACTATGAATCATCTATTAAGCATTAGCAAATAGTTAATTCATCATCTGTTAAGTATTAACTCTACATAAATAAGCGTTACTAAGCAGTTATAATACAGCTACAAATGCTGTAGGCTTGACTTATAAGCACATGTATAATGTGCTTAATGATTGAGTTTTCATACTATGTTACTGATTATTCTTTCATTACATAATTAAGTATAGCATTATTTTAAAACTAGTTTTTTAAGAATAGTTGGTGCCATTTAAGGATCATTCAGAATGCGAAAGTAAATGATTTATAAACTATTCAAATTAACATTCATATATCTTATTCACACATTTAATAACAATTCATTTGTATGTTGATAAATGCTTTATTAAGTCAACTTCATCCAGTTTTGTGAACTAAAGTGAGGACTATTTATGCTTTATAAATCCCTCATAAATGACAATTAAAGGCTCAGTTTCATTCTAAACAGGAAAAAAAGAAAATAAATAACTTTATTCATTTCTATTCAGTCGAATATATACACAAATAAAAACTGTATCAAATGAAAGGTCATTGCAATCTTCATTCATTCATTCATTCATTTTCTTGTTGGCTTAGTCCCTTTATTAATCTGGGGTCGCCACAGCGGAATGAACCGCCAACTTATCCAGCAAGTTTTTACGCAGCGGAAGCCCTTCCAGCCGCAACCCATCTCTGGGAATCATCCACATACACATTCACACACACACACTCATACACTATGGACAATTTAGCCTACCCAATTCACCTGTACCACATGTCTTTGGACTGTGGCGGAAACCCATGCCAACGCAGGGAGAACATTCAAACTCCACACAGAAACGCCAACTTAGCCGAGGCTCGAACCAATGACTCAGCGACCTTCTTGATGTGAGGCGACAGCACTACCTACTACACTGCTTTGCCCGTCATTGCAACTGCACAGTTTAAACATCACTAAATAACCTAAATGTTGTAATATATTGTTAAATTATTATATTGTTGGGTGACGAGGTGGCGCAGTAGGTAGTGCTGTCGCCTCACAGCAAGAAGGTTGCTGGTTCGAGCCTCAGCTGGGTCAGTTGGCATTTCTGTGTGGAGTTTGCATGTTCTCCCAATGTTCGCGTGGTTTCCTCCGGGTGCTCTGGTTTCCCCCACAAGTCCAAAGACATGCGGTGCAGGTAAATTGGGTAAGCTAAATTGTACGTAGTGTATGAGTGTGTGAATGAGTGTGTATGGTTGTTTCCCAGTGATGGGTTGCAGCTGTAGGTGCATCCGCTGCATAAAAATATGCTGGATAAGTTGGCGGTTCCTTCCGCTGTGGCGACCCCAGATTAATAAAGGGACTAATTATAATGAATTATATTGTTGTTGTTTTATACAATATTATGTCATATTTTGACACTCGTTATTCGACAATGTTTAAAGTTTACAGTAATTTTGTTTTTTAGATAAGTTTGCAAACATTTATTGTTAAGTTGATTCCAAGCCTTTGTCATTTATAAAGGATTTATGAAGTATAAATAGTCCTCACTTTATATTAGGTCATAAAACTGCATAAAGTTGAGTTAATAAAGCATTTATTAACATACATAATAACTATTATTATATGCCTGAATAATAAAATATATGAATGTTGATTTAAATATTTTATAAATCATTTATTTGCTCATTCTGAATAATCTTAAAAACCCCAACTACTCATAAATACAAATGGTTTGTAAATAATGCAATACTGAATTTAGTAATGAACAATTAACAAGTAGCAAAGTATGAATATACAATTATTACGGACACTATAAATGTGTTTTAAAGTCAAGAATAAAGCATTAGAAGCTGTATAACTTGCTTACTAACATCTATTGACGTAGAGTTAATGCTTAACAAATAATGAGTTAATTATGTAGTTATTACAGTGTTACCATACTAAATTATCTTTTTTGCTAGTATAGGTTTACTAAGTTAAAATAATTGTATGTTATTTAAAAATTATTGAATTATTTGGTATACCTGTTTTATTATTATAATTATAAATATCACTAATAAACATTAAACATCTACTATATTAACAGCTTTACTTCTACCTTTTTAAATAATATAATTTTTGTAATACATGAGAAGCTATTTTATAGTTATTGTTAATAATAACCATTTAAAAGATTAAAATCACTACTGCTAACAATACATTAACTTTAATAAATGTTAAACTTAATACTTCAACTAAAATAACTTATTTAATAGCAATTTATTAAAAATAAACAATTAATTTGTCATAATTTTATTCAGTTGTTGTTTTAATACTATTACAAAACTAACCACTGTTATTAAAACACTATTGCTAATAATAGCGAGTTGTCAATTTAATAAGACTTTTATATCAATGAAATTAGTATTGCAGCAAACATAAATACAACAACAATACTAGTTAAGTAAATAACTTTTTATCTATTAATTAACTACTAATATTAGTTTTATTTAATTAAACATGTAAATCATAACATATAACATGCGCAATAAAATAACATAAAATAAAACATTTAGTTGATAATTTATTATAATTTCTTGAAAGGTGAAAAAAATATTAAAAATACCAAATAAATATTGACAAATAAATATTATTTGGCGGTGTATTGAATGTGGTGCCCTTCACTCTCCTGCGCATTTAGCGCGCACACTTGACGCACTAAACGCATTTCGATGTTTGTTGTCATGCGCGCGACCCACGCTGCTCACTCAATAAAGCTGCTGTGTTTTAGCTGATGTATTCCCAAATTATTACATTTGTACGAATATTTCTATTACCATCCGTGAAACCCTCACTATATTACAGTCGGACGCTTTTGACGAGTAAACCCACACTTCGCAACCCCGTTTACTCACAATACAACACGATGCCTAAAAAGGACAAGACGGTAGGGCTCATAACATTTCTTCATTAATAATAATATCTTGTAGGATTAGATTAGTAATGACAGCAGCATGACATATTAAGCTACCAAATTACGATTTCAGGATTTTACTTGTGTCTATGTGTTTGTCAATTCCATATATGATAATGTTATGACTGAGAACTGACAGTGTGACAACTTTTAAACCTTTATTCCCCTTAGAGCAAAAGCAGTCCAAAAGTACCAGAGATTCCTCCCGGCCCTGTTATGAAACTTAAAGACGGGACCATAACAATAGCAATACATGCTAAACCCGGGGCCAAACAAAACGCAGTCACCGGTTAAGTCTGTCAGATATTTGGATGAAGACACATACTCGTTATCTGTTGGGAGTTGGTTCACAGTAACCCCAGTTTTTCCTCTTGTTTTGCCAGATGTGTCTGAGGAGGCGGTGGGGGTCGCCATTGCTGCGCCGCCGACAGATGGAGAGGCAAACGCTGAACTCCTGCGCTTTTTATCCAAAGTCCTGCAGCTGAAGAAAAGCGAAGTATCATTAGACAAGGTCAGCTCCTATAAACGCCGTTATTTAAGTGCTTTCAGGCCGCTACACTTAATTATATGCTTTTTTTAATCATTAATGTGGTTTCAATTGCACAACAGGGGTCCAAATCGAGAGAAAAGGTGATCAGAGTGACGGCAGATGTGAGCCAGGAGGAAATCCTCAAGAAACTGAGGACAGAGGCTAGTGCTTGATGCTGAAGTGGGTTGATTGTTTAGTTCCGGGATATCCTTAATTCAAGAAAATTATCATCAAGTCAACCATATTAAGATTTTTTTTTTTTTGCCAAATAAAATGTATATATATTTGTTATGTCTTTGCTGTTCAGGTTTTTATTTGTGTGTGTGTGTGTGTGTGTGTGTGTGTGTGTGTGTGTGTGTTTGTTTTGTGATCTAAACAATACCAGTACACATTGATCCTTTTGGCCAGTTTGGCCAGAGAAGAAATGGTTGTGCCCGACTGAGCCTGGTTTTCTTAAGATTTTTTCCTTCAGTCTACTCATTTTATAAAGTTTTGTTCCTCGCTGCTGTCACCACTGGCTTGCTGGGTTTTGTGCCTTGTGGAGCTGTGCATCAGTGGATTTGCTCATTGGTGTTTGGAGTTTCAGCAGTGAAATTTAAAGCACACTAAACTGAACAAAACAGAACTTAAACTCTGAAAACTGGACTGACACAGAATCAATTTACTAGAACTTCATTTATCTTAAGCTGTTTTGACACAATCTACATTGTTAAAGCGCTCTAAAAATAAAGATGAAATGAAGTTTATTTACAATGATTGACATGCTTATGATTGACCACAGCTTGTCCCGCATTAGCTATCATATGATTCAGACGAATCCAAATGCACAAAAATAACCAGATTTTCTTACCTTAGGCATCTTCGATTTGGAAGAATCTTTCACCCACCCCTACAGCTCCCCTATTCCTTTCTATAAGTTAATCCAGGACAGGATGGCACTGCAGCTCAGTGGTTACCACTGTTGCCTCGCAGCAAAAAGCTTGCTGATTCGAGTCCTGGCTAGCCTATTGGCTTTTCTGTGTGAAGTTTGTATGTTCTCCCTGTGTTGCCGTCGCTTTCCCCTGTACTCCGGTTTCCTCCCACAGTCCAAAGACATGAAGTATAAGTGAATTATGAGTGTTTTAGTTCTGGGAATTCACCGCTAGCCTTATGCTGCTACAGTTGGTGGTTCATTTCACCGTGGAAACCCACAATAATTAAGGAATAGGGCGAGCAAACTAATTCGAGGTATCTCTCGAGACCTAACTGAGCCTATGAAATGAAAGGGAGCCCCAGGCTCAAGGATCTTCTGAGCTCTCAGGGACAGCATGCCAAACGCTTTATTATCAATTATCAGCGAAGTGTGAACTCTTGAATTGAATTAAACTTAGAGTGCAGTGAGTATGAGAGTACAACAAATATTTTTTTACAATCCTATTTTGCTGAAATAAAAAAAAAAAAAATTCACAATGGTGTTATCAACACTTTCAGAAAAAGGAAAAAAAAATGTTTAAGACAGAAGAGAGAACAATGTCAAATTTACTGTGTTGCCTGTGTATACTCTGCATTTCAAATACCTCAGTGGTGATTCTTTTATTGTAATTTGATGCAAAGATTATATAATAGATACATAAATACGTATAAATGTTCATATGTTTAAAAAAAATCTAAATATTAAAAAGTTCAAAGATTTAAGATGCTGATTATCATTAAATGTGTCTTGTGAAAAGGGTTCATATGGTCAAAAGTGGTGTACGGCTTAGGAAAAATCAACCAAAGTGAGTAATGAATTAGATAGCTTTTTATCCAAAGTTAGAAATATGTGAGGAATATTATGAATTCAACCTACAGAAGTAGGGGAGTCCCAACCTTGTGTTTATAATATTTTATATTTATATAATGTTTTATCGTGGATTAATTGTGAATAGCTACAACAATGGTCTCAAACTCAATTCCTAGAGGGCCAGAGCTTTGCATAGTTTAGCTCCAACCATCTCCAACCCACACCTGCTTAATAGTCTCTATTAGTCTTAAACATTAGATTAGTTGGATCACCTGTATTTGATTAGCATTGGAGCAAAACTGTGCAGAGCTGTGGTCTTCCAGGAACTGAGCTTGAGACCTATGCGCTACACTAAACAGAGGCCTGTCGCACAAAGACAGTTTTGGTTTTTACCCAGGTTAAGTTTTCAGGCTCAATAATGTGAGTTGGTTTGGTGATGGTTTCTTCACTATAGTAACTTGCGCTACATGGCTAATCTATTCTGGAGCAGGTTTAATTTTGAGTTATACATCGCAAACCCAAACCTGAACAATCAGCTGAGTAAAGTGGCATATTTGATCCTAAAAACCACTCCCAGTCCCCATAGCTCAGAATTAAAGCCTTTTACGCTGTAAGTATTCTGAGTCACAATTGTCTATTTCTAAAATTTATTTGAATTAAATAATTTAATTTCATTTTTAGGCTACATTATGCTACATGTTCGAATGGTTTTGAGTTGTTAATTAATATTATTAATAGGTTTAAAATGTAAAAATAATTTATTAAAATTTGTATTTAAATCTAAATTTGCTTAAATATATAAAGCTTTAAAATGAATCCTTTGAGCTGTCTGTGAACCTGCATTATTCAAATCAGTTGATTGATTTACATTGATATATTTTCTTTTTAAGTTGCCTTCTCAAATCTTTGCTGCATCAGCAATGTTTATGTCTGCTTTATAAATGTGTTTAAATTCATATATAAATTCACTCTTGTGTGCGTTTGATTTGCTGTTTGCTGCACGTGTCACACTTTCAGCTGCATGCAGTCCAGAATTCATCACAAACGCAGGGTATTCTATAGAAATAAAGATGAATTGAATTGAATTGTTTGAAATTTATGCTCAGTTTTTCTCATTAAGGACTTATTATGTGGTCTCTGTTGCCATCTTGTGGCGGAATGTCAACTATTAATTTCTTTGCTCTGCTGATGGCCACCAATGTGCTCAATCTTTCAAATTATGTATATTTAAAAAAAAAAAGGCACTATCCTTATAAATAAACTGCACTGCAATCTAAATAATACTCGGACAAAAAAAAAAAAAAAAAAACTTCCAAAGTACATTATGTTGTCCAACAGCTGCAATATTTGTCAAACAGAGCAATACGATTTGAGAACCTAGACAGAACTGTTGTGTACATACAGTTAAAGTCAGAATTATTAGCCCCCCTGAATAATTAGCCCCGTTTATTATTTTCCCCCAATTTCTGTTTAACGGAGAGAAGAATTTTTCAACACATTTCTAAACAATAGTTTTTATAACTCATTTCTAATAACTGATTTATTTTATCTTTGCCATAATGAAAGTAAATCATATTGTACTAGATATTTTTCAAGACACTTCTATACAGCTTAAAAGTGACATTTAAAGGCTTAACTAGGTTAATTAGGTTAACTAGGCAGGTTAGGGGAATTAGGCAAGTTATTGTATAACAATGGTTTGTTCTGTAGACTATCAAAAAAAGATATGGTTTGAAGGGAATAATAATTTTGACCTTCAAAAAATAATTTTGAATTAAAAACTGGTTTTATTCTAGCCGAAATAAAGCAAGTAAGACTTTCTCCAGAAGAAATACTATTATCAGACCTACTGTGAAAATTTCCCTGCTCTGTAGACATCATTTGGGAAATATTTAAAAAAGGGGAAAAAAAATTCAAAGGGGGGCTAATAATTCTGACTTCAACTGTAAATACATTTTGATCAACAACTTTAAATTAACGTGTAGTTTAAAGCTGTCTTTTTTTTTTTTTTTTGATTTTCACATACTTTGCTTCAAATCAGAATCTCCCTTGTTGTGATGTAACTTTGTAGTAGATTGGTTTGGTTCATGACACGTAACACTTTAACAAAGAGTTGTTTTTTCAATCTGGGAAAAAATGCTTTATTTTAAACAATAAGTAATAAATAAAAATACGCACACTGATGCAACATATTTCAAATGTTACCTTGCTAAAATCTCATCATACACCATGAAAAGTATACATTTTATTTGACCAAAATGTTATAGTCTATAAGAAGTTTTGTAAGTTCCCCACACTGCAAAGGCTTTTCTGGCTTTATATAAAGGGCACACCAGCGCCTGCAGTCGTTCACCAGAGACAAATGTGCTCATTAAAGAGAATCTAATGAGTATGCAGATCAAACTAAATTACAACAAAAGTCCATCAATGAGCAATAACGATTCCCAGTCTCTATTCCTGAGATTTTTTTGGCAATTTCTAAAATCCTAATTTTTTTAATCCAGTCTTACATGTGCTTCCAAGAATGCATTCATAATCATTATAGACAGAATAAATATTTCATACAATTTAAAAATAAAACACAGAGATGTTAGCTCAAATCACTCTCTTTCTATGATCAGCTGTGAGCTTTACACCATGCCTGAAAAAATTTACATTGAAATGTAAATTTAGAAATGAGACTGTTATTTGAGTTTTGATTACTTTTTATAATACCAAGTGACATTTGGAGGAATGAGGAGTCATGAGAACTGAACATGTTTACATTGAACAGCGCAGTTGCAGCTCTGCATCCTCCTACATTCATTATTCCTGCAATATAACCTCTCCATAAATGGAAATCTCCGGTTATTTGCCTGTTCCCAGAGCTCATTCTGTAATAAACTTGAAATTGCATAGGCCTTATGAAATGAAAACAAATTAATTTTCATCTAAAAACACACTGTCTGACTTGTTCAATTAAAAATGAGTTGTCTGAGATATTTTGTTTTACAAAACCTGACACTTGTACAATAAAACAACATGTATAGGTTGGTCATATTTAATTCTTATTTACATTTTATTTTGTAAATAACAAGAAAGATACCTGAATAATCAAGTCATCAGCTATAATTCCACACGTGTACTGCTACAAATCTATAGTTTTTTTTTTTTATTATCAAAGTAGCTAATTACATAAAATAATGTCATAGATTATCAATTATATAGGTGTTACATATGAAATGCGACAAAAATATTCAGTTTAATTAATCTTAACTTCTATAGCACTTATACATTTTTTAAAAATTGTTCTTGTTTAATAATAATAAATAAAATAATACAATTATAAATATACATAGTGTACAGTGCATCCGGAAAGTATTCAAAGTGTTTCACTTTATGTTATCAAAACTCTACACACAATACCCTCATAATGACAATGTGAAAAGATTTTTTGAAATTGTTGCTAATTCATAAAAAATAAAAAACCTGAAAAATCACATGTACATACGTATCCACAGCTTTTGCTCAATACTTTGGTGATGCACCTTTGGAAGCAATTACAGC